CAAAAAAAAACCCCCCCAAAAAAAAACCCGCAGTGTACACTTTCAGACATTTCTTCCGATCGAATTCCCAGCCCTCCGTAGATGATGGCCTACCCTGTAGCACTTGTTTGCAATCAAGGCTCGCGCAGAAGGTGATTATAAAACGGCGTATTTTAATTAATCTATAGATTTTATTTATGAGAGACGTCGGTTTATAGGAGAGACTGGCTATGAGCTCACAGTTTAGGGGGGCTTAGACCTTGCTAATGTGAACTCTTGACATTAGCCTCATCGTGAGCTGCCAAGTCGACAAGGAAGGTATGAATGTCTTCCAAGATTCGCTCTGCTATCTCTTTAGGAGTACAGTCCTGCCAACAGATTTCGATATTTAAGGCCTTCCCGCGTACAGTGAGAAGGCTAATGCGGAAAGGCGCACCCACCGCTTCGGAGCTTAGTGAAAAGGTGGCATCCTGTAAATGCCAGTGAGGCGCCTCGCCGCTTGTCATCGATTCGGAGCCATCAGCCAAAAGCACCCCAAGATTGGAAATCAACCAAGAATGCTCCCTTGGACGGGCTGTCTTTTTTGAAGCCTCGGCCCGCCAGTCCCCTACAAACTTCATTAAGCCGGTGATGTCGTTTGATAGCCCCCGTGAAAGCTTTTGCTCGATTTCAAGGCGAATTCGCCTGGAAATGCTCCATATGGCCTGCTCCATGGCGATATTCACCTCAGGGTCTTTCGATAGTTCCCGCAGCTGTCGCACGAGGTCACCGCCGAAGGGATGCTTCATTCCCGAGCTAAAGTTCCCCATCGTGTTTGCCGGATCAAAATCAGGAAAGTTGGAAGGATTCTTCGGCATGAAACGGCGCAAATCTATCGTAGTGACGGAGGTCATAGCCTGCGCCTGATCAGCCGAGAGAAGAGTGGCCAAATTTTTTAAGACCAGAGCATGCTCAAGGCCGGTGAGAGTTGTGGAGTTTTGTCGGCAGGATCGAAGGATAGATTCCAGTATATGAGCTTCGATCCTGAGTGATTTCAGTCTGGTAGGAACCGCCTTAGCACTAGTGGGAAGCCAGCCAACATGAGAACTTTGAGAAAACCGAAAGATGTCCGGCCTGAGCTCTTTCCGCAAAGTTGATAGCACGAGGCCGGGGGTCAGGGGGAAATCGCACAGCTCATGTGGTGACGGTGGTAGGAGAAGTCTTTCGTTGGAAGGTATAGGGAAGTCTCTCTGCAGCTGCTTCAGCAGGGACTTAATGAACACCAAACCCCCCTTCCCATCAGCGATGGTATGGGTGTAGGTAAATATAATGTCAAGTACTCCAACCTCTTGCGATGAAAGTATGGTGACTCGCCAGCCGGGTCGAGTCTCTGTATCAGTAAACTCCGTGTCGATGAGTTTCTCTCGGTGCGAGTGTAGAATGACCTCATAGTCTTCCGCGTTGACGCTGTAATTTAACCACTCAACATGGTCTGACAAGTCGACGTGATTTGCTGCAACCCAATTCGGCTGAATCCCCAACTTCTCCCGCAACGTAGCTCTGAGAATGCCGTGCTCAAATGTGACCGCATGTACCGCTCGTAGGAAACTATCCCTAAATATTTCGGTGCCAGCTGGTGAGAACAAATCCTGGCTGATAACAAGGCGACAAGTGACCGCGTTGCATCGATATTGGCCACAAAGGTATCTGGCTTCCCAAAAACGTTCTCTACATGACAGATCAGCATGATTTTGTTCATAGGTAAGGCGAAAATGTTTGGTACAGATTGTTTAATGGACGAATTTCCGACGAATGCGACTCTTCTATGGGTTGGCTGTTTATCTCTTGCGCCATTGCGCAAAGTTTTGTTACTGAATCTGGCGCTCGGCCTGTTGGGGTAATGACCGTGATTTGTAGTAGCGCGTTATGTATACATGTATGAATGAGGACGATTTGCGGCTAATCGATTACCTGAGGAGGCCCGACTCAGGGTTTTATGACGCGAACCGGCTGGCAATTGATAACCTACTTGAATCGCTTATCCAAAAGGATCCTTCCATGTTTGGATGGTCTGACGATTCCAACCGACTTCTAGTACTACAGCCACTCTGAGAAGTTCATTTCATAATGGAAGCAACAAGTAAAATTTGGGGGCAACCCTACAAACAGTGCCGTGCCTGACTCGCATATTCCAAAGTAAGATCAGCTAGTAAGCCTCACCGTCAAGAGAAAGCTACTGTGTCAGAGTCATCGCAAGGGCGGCCGCCCAGATGGTGGAGAAATTTAAGATGGTCAGCATTACCAAGATAAGCGGTCATAAGTGAACTCAAGCGGGATCGAGCGGACTCGAGCGGAGTGCCAAGTGGGATACACATGTGGTCTAGAACGAGAGTACGAGTATTGTCAGAACCTGGTACTCAAGCACTGAGAACGATCTCCAAACTATCAGAAAAAAAAGGACCTCGGCCAATCAAAGAGGATTATAAAGAGCCGCAACCCAGGACATAGATAGGGATCACAACGGAGAATGATCTCACGAAGGCATCACGAACAACAGTGATACAAGAGAGAATCACATAGCTGGCGAATAAGCTACAAAGAAGCGCACAAGTATGTAGACCCCTAGATAAATAACACAGACCTAGCTAGCCGGGCAGTTACCAATACGTCTACTCTTGGTCTAGTTCCCAAGTGCAAACACCATCGTGACTTGTAACCTCTGTCTAAGTAGCTAAGTACGCCCTAACCTCCTAGTCGTCAAAGGCGAAACCCAGACCTTCTAGCCTCCCCTATAGATCAATCGTGTACGAACGCTACAAATGTTTATTTGATCTTTTTATAGTTTTATACCTGAAACCGAACCAAGATAATTTTACAAGAATAAATATAAGTTTTATTTTCGCAAAGTTTCCCCTCTTTAAAAGAAAAACAAACTAAAGTATATCCAGATGGGTATGAATAATAAGAATATAAGACTGAATCCAAACTAACACCCTCGTCCTCGACTGAAATCTGACAACATACAGTCCCACCCCCACAACAGGGCATTACCTGAAAATACCATGTGAATCATGTGATATTAAGCCCCACTATGAAGAGGAGGGGGAAATCGGAGACCATCGACAAAATTCCCGTACCTATATGTAGTCTTCATCCGCTTCCCCAGCACGGAGCACATATCAATTCACCGGCTTGACAATTACAACATCTCTTCCGATGGAGGAAACCTCTCCTCCGCTCCTATTGTGGGCGCCCATTCATTGGTCAACACGTTGTCTGTACCTCTTCGTCATTTATGCCATCAAAGTCCTGCTTGCCATCCGTTGGCAACTGATGCAGACAGGTGCAACTCTCGGCCTCATAGCTAGACCAAGTGGCAAGCCGATCTATTCAAAGTCCTACCCTAGTAGACCCAAGCTCAAACATCGCTTCTTCTTCCCAAGTTCTCACAAGCCTGGGCAATCGCACCCGGTTTACATTAATATCCATGGAGGAGGATATGCCTTCGGCGCACCGGCATATGACGATGAGTTTTGTGCATTCATGTCTCGCGAATTCAACTTGCTCGTCGTCAGTGTTCAATACTCCCTCTCACCGAGGGCGACGTTTCCAACACCCACCCAGGATGTCGTTGCTGTAGTGGAAGAGATCCTACGCGATGACAGCCTTCCCATTGACCATTCTCGAATCGCGATCGGAGGTTTCAGCGCGGGCGGCAACCTAGCGTTATCTGCGTGCCAGTCTCCAAGTCTGCAGGGCAAGGTGAAAGCTGCAGTACCATGGTATGCTCCCGTAGACTGGAGCGTCAATTACGAGTACAAGTTGGCCTCTCGGCCTTATAGACACGATAAAGAGGTTGACGGCCTTGCTGCGCTGGCGCCTATTTTCAATAATGTGTACCTGCCCACAGGCACAGACCAGAGAGACCCTCGCCTTAGCGTGCTGTATGCGGAGAGGAGCGAGTTACCGGAATGGATCTTTGCGATTGGCGCGGAATATGATATGCTCAACGATGAAGCGCGGCGGATGATGATCCGGTTAGCGGGAGAATCGAAAGTCAGCGGGGTGGAAAACGTGGCTTTTGAGAGGGACGGCGGAAAGTTGAGATGGAGAATGGTGACTGGTGCAGAGCACAGTTTCACTCACTGGTGGTTGAAGAGAGGTCAGCAAGCTGAGGTTACAAAGCCGTTGGCAGAGAAATGGTTTCGAGAGGTAGGGAGATGGCTGACAAAGGAGGCTTTTGCATAGCCGCTGTCCTAGTGAGGGTTTGAGTATAAAGTTAAAAACAACGATAGAAGTTGCCGGATTTGACATCTTAAAGACAATGAATAACATTCCCATTGTAACGTCTCATTATGAACATACCCTCAAAGTGAAGGTAATCAATAGCTGTTAATCCATTCCAGCGACTAGTAAGCGTAAAATAACAGGTAATATAACGGCAATTTCGGTAGAGCTTGCTTTATCTTTTCTCTCAATATCTAGGTGCAGCTTCATATTACGTCGACCTTAATAGCCGTGCTATACAATATTGTCACTCTATACTACCCACAAATTTAAGCCCCAACAATACTCATAATTAGGTGCATCCTTGCTCTTGTAAAGAGAGATGCTTCATGGACCAGTTTGAGGTATGAAAAAAACGCACAGCCTTGTGTTTAGGGCAAAGCCATGGCTGCTCACCTCGTGGCTTGAACTTACAATCCGCCAAGATCAAGACTCAAGCAGAACAGGATCATAAGCATCATCAAGAGGATGACAGCCAGAATCTGCATACTCAGGATTCATTCGCCGCTGTAGGAAGAGCCTTCGGTAATTTGGGGCATATATCCGGGACATCATATCGCCCGGCCGATCAGAGTTATTGGCCCAAGTTGACAACGCGTCGTGGAAAAACGCTTGCTCGGACTGTAGACCGGCATGTACGAGAAGAGTCCTCTTTTTCTCGGCGAGTTTATCCTGCACAGACTCCCACAATTTATTCAATTGACCAGGAACCTCCTTAGTGTCGACTTTCCAAGCATGGTACAGCAGGGCAATATAGCTGAGTTTTTTGAAGCGATCACCCTGTGCTGTTACCTGGACTAACTCTTCCAACTGGTCTGATATCTGTGGCCCACAAGAATGAATCGTGAGAGACTCGAGATTTTCTGGAAGACAATCAACAAGTCGAGGAGCTCCCTCAAATTTGAGTGGCATGTCGGCACATGTAAGGCGATAAGGAAGTATTCCTGTGAGGGCCTGCATTCCCGCTGTCAATGTCTTCAACGCATGCATTTCCTTAAGCCTGGCCCCCATATAAAGCCTCTCCGGGGTATTCTTCAAAACTGAATTGTTCCGCCAAACCTCCACTAGGGCGATATGGACGTGTTCAAGCGTGTTGGCATGAGGAAGCAGAGCATCAAGAATATCCCTAGGCGCTGCTGTGTCTAGTAGCTGGGCCTCTGTGTACCGGTAAAATGTCATCTCGAATCTCTTGAGTGCCCTGCAAGCGCCAAGTATGCTGAAGAGAGTATCTGCTTCAAAAAGGCTCTGATAAAGAGTGATCTCCTCAACCGGAGAAGATCTACGGGGAACACGTGAGAAATCCTTCGCTTCTTCCACAGATGCCTCCATCCCAATACACTCGTAGATTCTCATGCGAGGAGAGGAAAAGAGCGCCGATGCTTCAATGGAAAACTTTCTTGCGTTCGCCGATGACTTCGCTTCCTGAAAGAAATCTTGAAGGTTTGAGAGAGGAATAATCTTGTGAGGAAATTTTCCATCTGCCAGACCGGTCCAGCAACGGCGAAGGAAGTGTAAAAGGAGACTGACATAAACTCCCTCGACGGAGTGTTCCATAAGAAGAGTTCGGATGTTTGGGCAGGCGAGCAAGATAAGAGCCAATTGTGCATCGGGTCTGCTGCTGAGGTCTTTTACCCATCCGGCACCCCATGATAGACTCTCGTGAAGCGGTAGGTCAAGAGCAGGGGATTCATTGAAGGAGAACTCAATGAGGTTCTGGTAGACAACAAGATCTTTATCAGAAATCCTTCTTTGGTCCTCGGTGTCGCCGTCATTGTCGGTCGAGCCATCGCGGACGAAGCGGCCAGTGATCAAAGTGTTGACGTGTTTGGCAAGCCAAGGTTTAGAAACAAGAATGTAGTGTAGAAATTGTAGATTTCGAGCCCGAGAACAAATTCCTTGGTCTTTGGGGTAGGGTGCTGCGTTTCGAAAGACGCTCACGGAGAGTGGGAGTGCTACCTCGTAGAGTTGTTTACATGTCCTCAAGACAGCTTGAATATTTGGTTTGCCGTAAGATAGGGTGAGGAATGAGAAGATTTTAGACTGAATCTCTAGTGGCAGAGTCAAAAGAGTCCTCGGCCCTGGCTTGGTTCGGGTCTGCTCCATGTTGTATACGGCTTCCCTTGCGGTCAAACGTGGTGTGGAGGTCACTGAAACTGACGACGAGCTACCTTACTTGGTAGATGATGGGAACCCGAGGAAGGGTGGCGGTGTCCGCAAACGCGTGTCTCATGTCATGACCGGGGTCGGGCTGCCCGGTGCTTGGTGGGTAAATGTTGTGGATGTGAGTGGTTGATTATTATGTTGGTTGGTTGGAACTTGGGGATAGTTCTGTGGACCCCGTAATCCAGTCGCTTCCCAGGAGCCGATCTAATAACTTAGAGCTTACTATAACTAGACCTCAGCATGTGATTGTAGCAGCTTAGAAAATCGAAATTCGCAGTTGATTCGTAAGCAAAATTCTGAATCCCGTAAATACAGATTGATGTTAGTGCGAGGAGATTCTCGTGAGGATCCCTCTTTTCTGGTGGGGTGGGGGGAGGGTTTGGATACTGACCCGCTGGTTGTATTTCGGTTGTTGGCTGGAACTTGGAACCACTCGTTGCCACCGTAAGGCTATTTGCTGCGTACCTAATGTGGGAACCAACATACAGGAATTAATATAGAAAGTCCCATCTTGAATGGGGCCTTGTGGACCTCCCTCGTCAAATGAAGTATTCCGCCGGCAGTGACCATGCATTCGCGGCGCAGTACATGGATGTCGGTCCTGTTGAGCGTTAGTCGCATAGCCCGATAGCATGGACCTGCCTCGGCAATAGTGAACTGTCATTTCCAATGCACTAGGTACAATGTGTGCTTCACGACTTGTTTTGATATGTTGGGTGGATCATGCAATGAACCATAGGTCGGAATTATAGCCCTGGTACTAAACCGGGTAGAACAGGAATTGTCTTCTATGAACCCTGAGGAGTCTAAAAGCTGGACACGATTGTCGCCTTCATAAGCTGGAAATAGGGAGCATCATCGGAGGTGGGGGGACGGCTGAGTTGTTGGTCAAGTGGCTCCTGGCTGGACCTAGGCTGAGAGCGAGAGGAGGCGGCCAGACCCAGTTGCGGGCTGGTGGCCGTGGAAAGCCTGGCAGAAGAGCGTAATATTAAGCTGAAAACAGATTTAGGGTGGAGAAGTATGATTCGGCCGCCCAAGTATTGGTTTCTTGCCCTTTTCCTATGCTAAATTCAGCGATGCGGCTGGGCGGTTGTTGACACATCCCACTAGGAGTGGAACATCTTGTTGGGTGGTTTCGGTTGGCTCAGATGGCGAAACAGGGTGTCGGTCTTGGCGTCCCTAATGATCTTGGCGTGTGACTGAGTAGAATTATTCCAGCCCTCTTACGAATCCATGCCGTGGAGATCATGTAATAATCGCGTCTTATAGCCACTTCATCCTTGTACTTCAACATATTGCCATTCTCTGCATTGGATTCTCATGGAAGGCCAAAGGAAAACAGTCGTTTAGTACGGGCTGCAAACTTTAACCGAGAGCATGGGCGGTATTGTAGTGCAAGCCTGCCCTCCTGGAATCAGTACTAACCGCAGTTGATGAACCTGAGTCATCTTGGTTTTGAAATGATATGCAAGTTGGAAGTGTTGGTCAGCGCAGTAGTGGGGGCTCTATGGTAAATGAGCGCGTGATACCGCACTTATCTGGAATTGATCAGGCCGTTACAAGGGCAAGATACGGTTGGGAGAGAAGCATCCTGTTGGAAAGGTAATATTAGTGATTTCTCTCGTAATGGGTACGCTTCGTTTCTGTTATCTTGTGATAATAATAGATGTGAGAAATTAAAGGCTGATGATGGTTCCCCGGCTTGGATTCGGGGTTCAAGGAAAGGTACATCTATAAAGGAAGGCATCTCAGCATGATGGGACTAATTCTTCCTTTTCCTTTCTCTATCACACATTAAAAGAAAAAAAAACATTCCTCAGAGCCGGTCTCTCCTATTCCTTTCTCTCTCTCCTTGCCTTTTTATATTTCATCCTTATATTTCATTTCCTCTTACATCCTAGAGCTGGTCTCTCTTTGGTGCTTTTCAACTTCAAGCTCTTTTCCGTTTCTCTTCATTTCTCTTCACTCTCATCATCCAAACTTTACTAAACATGCGAACAATGGGCTTGTCAATGGAGATAATCCTCCTTGCTAGCGTGCTGCTTGGCATGACCACTACAACCTCCGGCCTTCCAATAACTGCCAAAGAGCTTGTTGCCAGGAGTGAGATAAGAAGTGCTCACACTACTGAGAATCCTGTACAGGCTCGCGAAGAGAGTGGCTATATCAAGAACCGTATCAGCGGTGAAAATGGCGTTGTTAAAAAGCGAAGCCCTAGGACCGCTGTTCCCAAGAAGGCCGCTGTTCACAGGAATCATTCGCCCAAGAGCGTGGTTTTGCCCAAGAAGGCTTCCCCCAACAAAGTAGCTGTTCCCAAAAAGGCCGCTGCCCCGGAAAAGCCTGCTGTCCACAAGAAGCCTGTTTTTCACAAGAAGCCTGCTGGTCCCATGAATCCTGCTGGTCCCAAGAAGCCTACCCAAAAGAAGTCTGCTGGTCCCAAGAAGCCTGCTGTTCACAAGAAGCCTGCTGTTCACAAGAAGCCTGCTGTTCACAAGAAGCCTGCTGGTCCCAAGAAGCCTGCTGTTCACAAGAAGCCTGTTGTTCACAAGAATCCTGCTGGTCCCAAGAAGCCTGTTGTTCACAAGAAGCCTATTGTTCACAAGAATCCTGCTGGTCCCAAGAATCCTGCTGGTCCCAAAAAGCCTACCCAAAAGAAGCTTGCCCAGAAGAAGCCCGCTGTTCACAAAAAACCTGCTGTACCTAAGAAGCCCACCGTCCAATCCCAGGGCAAGGGAAATGTAGGCAGCCAAAGACCTACGCAGTCGAAGGGTAGTACAGATGGTAAGGTATCCATGTGTCGGCGAATGTCAGATAACTCGGGTAACCCGCCAACATCTTGCTCAATTACGCCGGGGTTCAAGGTCGGTGGAGGGTCGAAGTTTGAGACCTTAGAGGAGGGAAAGCTTGTCCCAGGAGCCAAACCAAACCCAGCACCACAACTAGCACCACAACTGGCACCACAACCGGCAGCATCAGGGTCATCGGGATTTGCTGGACCGGCTGTCTACCAGAATTTGAAAGAGGGGCAGCTTGTGCCAACAAGTAGAACCCCGACGCCAGCACCAGCACCAGCACCTGCACCAGCGCTTGTACCTATCCCTACATCTGAAAGGAATCGTCAGCTCATGCAGATCTCATTAGAGACCGGAAAAGACACACAGGATAAAAGGGCACGAGAAGGCATACTCAATTCGTACAGCCAGAACGAATAGATCTAGGTATGTAGTGAGTGTGTATGCATGTAGTGGCAATAAACAGGTTTTGGAAAATAAAGAAATCTTCTGTGTTCCTGCTTCATTAAACAAACTAGGTAGTCATCTAATACCTATGAGTGCTACGTCACAAAGATCAATTGCATTTAACAGCAGTTCTCTGATCTAATAACACGACCTACTGAACCTATTGATAGTAGATATCAGAGTTGTATGAAGTTCTTCGATACATGTAGACCTTGGTAGATTGTGGGTCAGCGTTGTCAACTTATAAATCTAACGGGCTAGTCACGGCTAGCACAGGCACCAGCAAGCCTCATCCGAGGCAGTCTTGATACGACGCGGCCCACAGGTAAGCACACAATTGTGTAAAAGCTTGGCGAGAAGTGCCACGCTGATCTTCAGGCTAACAAGGAAACCCCTCAGTCTACATAGTAGGTAAGGTAATTCTGCACTATACCATAATTACCGTGTGACAATCTTCCCCTCTGCCTATAACATGCCTTGCTTGCAGTATTGAACCCACTGTATAGCCCCTTAAGAATTGCTTGTTGTTGCAATATCTTTGCCCGAGGTGAAGAATCAACAAGAGGAGGTGCTGTCGGAGATGACCTCGCCAATTTTCCCAGTCCAGGCATCCGGCTGCAACGATATCGGGGTGCAGTATCATATTGAATACCAGCGCACAGGGGATATCAAAGCCATCGATGCCTCAATTCACCAATTCCAGAAAGCTCTAGATAGCACCTCCCCAGGTGATCCAATCCGACCTGGGCAACAATTTAATCTTGCTGTTGGCTATTTGAATCGATTCCGAAAACGAGGGGATTTAGAGGACCTCAAGCATGCTATTCTACTTAACCACCAGGCTCTCAAAGGAACTCCAAACAACCAATATCGAACTTGGCTACTTCATAATCTTTCTGGCTGCTATAGGGAGAGATACCAGCGGCAAGGAGCTCTAACAGATCTCGACTATTCAATCCAACTTGGAAGGGAGTCTCTACAACATACCCCTCCAGATGACGTATATCTAGCTCGAAAACTTGAGAGTATTTCTCTCAGTTATCTAAGTCGGTTTTGGCGAGTGGGAGCTTTGCGAGATCTTAATTATTCCATTCAGCTTAGTAGAGATGCTCTAGCTCAAACCCCTACAGATGATTCAGGCCGATCTTATCGACTCCACTGCCTTGCGGCTAGCTATGGATATAAATTTCGACAATCAGGAGTTCTAGCAGATCTTAACTATTCCATACAGCTTGCTCAGGAGGCTCTAGATTACACTCTAGCAGATGATCTAGATCAATCTAAGCGACTAACCACTCTTGCTATGGGCTATAGAGACCGGTTCAGACAATTAAAACTTCCAGAAGACATTGACAATTCAATTGCACTTTATAAAAGCGCGCTAGAAAATAGTATAGCAGCTGACCCGGATCGAGCACGACGACTGCAAGGACTCGCTGCTAGTTATACATATCGGTTCCGACAAGGAAAAGCTCTGGGTGACCTTGACCATGCTATTGAGGCTGGCCAACAGGCTTTAGAGATCACTTCGGCAAATGATCCAATTCGAGCTCAACTCCTCCATAATCTAGCTGCGACTTATGTATACCGATACCAAAACACAGATAATACGGAGGATCTTAATTACTCTACCCAGTTGTACCAGAAAGCCCTTGACTCTTCTGCTTCTCCTGTTCTGGACCGCATACATGGAAGTAGCATTTTGCTGCTAATATATGGCCAAGCTGAAAATTGGGCTCAAGCCTATGAAGCCGCATACACGACAACATCTCTGATTCCCCAAATCACCCAGCGCTCTCTTGAAAATTCAGATAAGCAACACCGGATTGCGGCTATTGTTGGCCTTAGCTCGGATGCAGCAGCTATTGCTTTGAACGCTGGAAAATCGGTATACGAAGCAATTCGGCTTCAAGAACTTGGTCGCGGAATCATTGCCGATTCATTGAATGACATGCGCCTCGACATATCAGAACTTCGAAGGTTACATCCCGAGTTAGCCTATGAGTTCTTTCAGTGCAATGATGACCTCGCGAAGTCGGCTGTATCACCCTCTCAAGATAGCCATCCAAACTTCTCAACAACCGCATCACACGAGATCGATCAGCGCTACAACACTGGTCGGAAATTAGAACAGGTCATTGAAGCCATCCGGAGCCATCCTGGCTTTGAAAGATTTCTTCTGGCTCCAACTGAGGATGAAATGAAGAGCGCGGCGATTCGTGGACCGGTTGTCGTTCTCAATGTTAGTAGATACCGCTGCGATGCGCTCATCGTGGAGCAAGACGGATTAAGGCACCTGCAACTGCACGGTCTACACGAGAGCGACATTCAAGACTATGCTGCCACGTTAGATTCAAGTTCTGTCACTACACAGTTGTTGGAGTGGTTATGGGACACAATTGCAGGGCTGGTGCTTGATTTCCTGAATTTCACCCAGCCCCCCGCTGCTGACTGGCCCCGGATATGGTGGATTCCGACCGGACCTCTTGCTAAATTTCCAATACATGCGGCAGGATACCATGGTGCCGGCTCCAATACGGTCTTGGACCGGGTTGTGTCGAATTACAGTTCCTCAATCAAGGCTCTTTTCCATTTCCGCGAGAATCAGCTCAAAGTCGAGATGCCAGGAATGCCAGAAAAAGCAGTCCTCGTAGGCATGCCGAACACACCCGGACAGACAATGCTACCCTTTGCGTCACAGGAAATCAATGAGCTAGGTGAGATATGTGCCTCTTTAGACTTACAAGTATGCATGCCACCGCCAAATGTGGATGCTGTTCTTTCATCTCTGAGGGACTGTGAGGTCTTTCATTTCGCAGGCCATGGGCAAACAGACCCCTCGGACCCATCAAAGAGCGCAATAATACTAGAAGATGGGAAAATCACAGTTGCAAGCCTCCTGCAGAGAAATCTCTATGCCCAGAAGCCGTTTCTTGCATACCTCTCGGCTTGCAGCACCGGGCGAATGAAGAACAGCGACTTGATGGATGAAGGACTTCACTTGATTGCAGCATGCCAGCTTGCTGGGTTCCAGCATGTTATCGGCACTCTTTGGGAGGTCAATGACAAGTCATGTGTTGAAATTGCAAGGAGAACCTATGAGCAACTACGACAGGAAGGTATAAGCCATCGGTCTATCGGCGAGGGACTTCACCATGCCTGCAGGAGTCTGCGTTCTCGGTGGGTTGCCGAAAATGAAGAAAGGGGAGGCTTTAAACGGAGTGAAGAGTTGCAAAAGGTCTCGCAAGATTCCATCACAACCAGACAATTAAAATCCAGCGAAGGAGAGACGGGAAATCCTAGGGATGTAATGTCATGCGATGAGATGCCGCTTTACTGGGTGCCTTATGTTCACTTTGGTATCTAGATGTTATATTGTAGATTGGCCGGGATGATTTGTTGCTAAGATTAAGCTCCTGTGACTCTGCTTCATCAAACAAGCGGTCTTCAAATGTTTAAAAGTGTTACGCTACAAAGCTCAGTTGGATCTAGCGGCAATTCCAAAGTTATCTGATACCTTAGTAGACTGTCAAATGGGTGACACTGGAAATGGCACACCCAGATGAAGACCTAAATAATCACCTAATAAACACCCGAACAAATATCTAAATATCTAAACAAGTAGCTTATTCTAAATAGAGATTAGAGAATATCAACATTTAGACCTGGATATTCTGTTTCTTTAAATTTTATAGCGAGTATTGAAAGAAGATGGGTCAAGTATGTGTTAATAGAGTGCTTAAGTGTGCCATTTCCAATGTCACCTACTTGACTGTTAACCAGCGCTATTATATCTAATGGATGTCTCTATGAGGCTTCCAGAAACAAAAAGGAAAAAAAACATAGGCAAATGTCCAAGATGACAACAATATGCCAGCTAGAGCAGCATCTTGTTTGCCATCTCGCTGCTCATACGCACATAAACAAATTTGACAATATTGAAGAGCCTTATGCTTGGTTAGGCGCAATATTCAGATGGAAGGATTGGGGGTGATAAATTAGACAATTAGACGGCCCGGATTAGCTTCAGGCCGCGGGGCTGTGCAGAACATGGACCTGAGTGCCAAGATGCCTACTAACAGGTAGCTTCCAATAGCTTCTGCACGGAAGACAATGAGGTACAGAGTGACTAAATAGTACATGGAAGCAGAGAACCCGGCCTTTCTCGTGGTGATTGTTTAGTGGAGACCAGCTAGTGCTACGTGAATTGTTGTTGATGAAACTCACTGATCTCATTGTCGAAATCCGGGGTCATGAGATCAACCAATCTACCCGGATGGTTTTCGCAAGGCCTGTGCGTGGAGGCTACTTGTGCGGTTTTGGCAAGCTCTCGGACATTGATCTTCAGCCATCATCGCCACAGCTAATCCCTGTCGCTGGAAGGAGTCATAGCCTGTGGCCTAAGGCAACGGTACCCTTGGGCGTCTAAGGAGGGATTGGAAGATGATGGAAGCTTCATTTCTTATTTCCTAAATTTGGCGCGGCTCCTTTAACCAGTTGTCAACGACCGCGGCATCGAATAGTCAATTTTCTTTGAATTATTTCTTCCATTTCCCTTCAGTTGCATTCCCAAACAATCTGTCTCTATGCGCTGCCAGAGCCCTGTGGTCTGTCATTAGCATGGACGGCCAGTTTGGACCCCATTTGTCGGGAGTGTTCGACTTCACGCTTCTCTTTGAGCAAAGCATCCTTTCTCTTCTTCCAACTGCGTTGTTCATCCTCCTGACACCTTTCCGGGTGTTTGCCATCTGGAAAAATGAATCCTGCGTCAGGGGTGGCCCACTGCTGTGGGCAAAGTTGGTGAGACGACTCAACCAGAACAGCACAGCCATCAACTCATTCGTGATGCTATGCGATAAGTCAAGACTAAGCTAATTAAATTCAGATCGCCATCATCATTTTCGCATGCCTTCAAATCGCTCTCATTCCCCTGTGGTCCACCGGCTCTGCGCCCCGGACAAAGACCTCAATTGCTGAACCAGCCGTCGCGCTTGTAGAGAGCATTGCCATACTGACGCTCAGTTACTTTGAGCACCTAAAGTCCCCCAGACCATCTCTTATGCTCAATGCTTATCTTATTTTGAGCCTAATTTTGGACATTGCGTTGGGGAGAACCTTTTGGATTCGAAACAATATGCAGGAGATTGCTGCCGTCTTCACAGCTTCGATGGCTGCCAAATTCATCCTTCTCATCCTCGAGGAGATCCCCAAGCGCCATTTCACTGATGCGAGAGACCCGGTAAGGGAAACATCAGCTGGCGTCATTAGCCGAAGCTTGTTCTGGTGGTTGAATCCCTTGCTGCTCGCGGGCTCCCGCGAGATTTTGGAGATTGATCACCTGGAGCCCGTAGGCGACAAGTTCGACTCGGACTATCTCTTGCAGCGTCTCGAGAGGGCCTGGAAAAAAGGTAAAGTACCCGAACTCAGCTGAAGACAATGAAATTCGATACTAACGCGCTGCTTAGAATCTAAGAAGGAGAAGCCCAGCCTGTTGGTCTGCACCTTGGCTGAGTTCAAGTGGCCTGCCCTTGCTGGCGTGATACCTCGACTTCTGCAGAGCGCGTTCAACTTTGCGCAGCCTTTTCTTATCCAATCGGTTATTCTTGCGGTCGGCAGCCCCGAGACTGAGCTCTCAGTCAAGGTTGCGAGCGGACTCATCGGCGCGACAGCGCTTGTTTATGTCGGTATGGCGTTGTCAGATGTTTGGTGCAAACATCTGTCGTACCAGTTGGTGACAATGTATCGTGGCGCGTTGTCGTCTCTTATTTTTAAGAAGACATTGAACTTGAACTCCATCGAGATCAAAGACAACGCACCAGTCACGCTCATGAGCACCGACATTGATGTCATCACCGCTGCGGGAGAATCCTTCCATGATATCTGGGCGAACTTGGTTGATCTCCCGATTGGAATTTATCTACTCTACCGGCAGGTCGGGAATGCCAGTCTTCTAGTTCTGATCCCAACTGTGGGTAAGTCTCACTCTCCCCGCTATTCACTTGGTGAATAGTTCTTTGCATGTCCAAGTACTCATCTATGATCAGTGAGCATTATATGCAGCGGCATCATCTCGCCTGCGATGGAGCCCGCCACTGTTACGTGGAACGCTGCTGTCCAAGCACGAATTGGCGAGACTTCGACGATGCTCAGCCAGATGAAGGGTATCAAAATGCTGGGCCTGGCCGATTTTGCCTACAAGCTTATCGACGGCTTGCGCATCAAAGAAGTGAAAGTTTCCGCCAAATACAGATGGCTTCTCGTCTATCTCATCAATCTTTGTAAATTTCAACTTTCTTTGCCTGTTCAAGACTTGCAGAAACTGACCTTGGATAGCTACAATTTCTGCCCAGTTCTCTCCCATGATTGTCATCCTTCCAGCTCTCTACTGGAAAGGTGGAACCGGGATGACTGTCGCGGAGGCTTTCACATCAATCAGCATTATAGGCCTCGTCACGCAACCCCTATCACTTCTTCTTGTATCACTAGCGCAAGTGGCCGGCATCACGGCCGGCTTTGGCAGGATCCAGGCTTTCCTAGAGCTTCGAGAGCAAAAGGATGGACGATCTAGGCCCTCGGCCCAAGCGTTATTACCTGATTCAAAGTCCGGTCTCATTGTCAATAATCACGATTTAGGGACTAAGAAGTCTGTTCTTGATGACATTGAACTGGCTAACATTGGCAGTGCAGATCATTATGCCATCTCGATTGATAATGCCACTTTCGCAACGGCCGACGATGTCACGCTGCTGCATGGAATTGACCTCAAGGTGGCAAAAAGCTCCTTGACAATGCTCGTGGGTAAAATCGGATGCGGAAAATCATCACTACTAAAGGCTATCATTGGCGAGATGGTAATACAGTCTGGCGCTGTCAGTGTAAGCTCCGACACCATTGCGTATTGCGACCAGAATGTCTGGCTTCGAAATGCCACGGTCCGGGATAACATCATTGGCCAAAGTTCCTACAACGAGCAACTCATGACTTCTGTTTTGAGAGCATGTGCTCTTGATGAAGATGTTCTTTCAAATTTCCCTTCTGGAGATTTGACCTTGGTTGGTTCTGGTGGGATAGCGTTGAGCGGTGGCCAGAAGCAAAGAGTTGTAAGTGCCTATCATCAGACTGGAAACTTACCTGAGCTCATCAACCTCCTTTTTCTTCTAGTCTTTAGCCCGTGCCCTATATGCCCAGAAGAGCATCTATGTGCTTGACGATATCTTCAGCGGTCTCGACAACAGCACATCAAATGCCGTCTTTGAGCGTCTTCTGGGTGCTACTGGATGGCTTCGAAAAAAGCACATAACTGTCGTGCTGGCCACGCACAACGGTAAGCTTTCCAAGTCTAGAAAGGCCTGGGGGAATAATGCTGACGTAGCATAGCGCATTTTTTGCAAGCCGCGGATCACATTACGATGCTTGAAGAAGGCCGTATTGTCCAAAATCAGGTTACTTACAAATCCATCGAGCCGTCACTTGTAGATGTTCTTGGCAAGGGGAAGTCCAAGAAGTCATCTGAAACCGAGAGCAGCATACAGACGGCAGATATCCAAAAACCCGCGGAACCACATACTGGGCTTCCGATGATACAGGGCGCGAAGGACTCTGGAAGGCAGACTGGTGACATCGAATGTTACAAGATCTATATCCAGTCCATCGGATTGATGATCATATCTGTGTGCTTCTCTATCAGTGCCATAACCTCAGCATTGGAGGCGATGCCCAGTACGTATTCATCAGCCATAGCAGACTACCCTGGCTATCTAGCTAACAAAATGAAACCTAAGATGTTATTCTGAAGGTCTGGACCGAAAATGGCGGCGATCTTGCGTCCACGGGCTATCTTGGGGGTTATATTGGTTTCGTCTTCAGTGCCGCTTTATTTGGATTACTCGACATGAGGTAAGCTTATCAACGCTCCTTCCCACTTTTAACTCAATATTAGTTTCCATGCTGACCAAGTCTTATAGCTTTTTCATTATTGTTGGTGTCCCTATATCATCTGTAAATCTGCATAGAAAGCTGCTCGAGACGGCTTGCCGGTAAGAGCTATGCCTTTGAAACCACGTTGAATCTTCCATTAACTTCTCCCCAGGGCTCCGTTGTATTTCTTCACAAGCACTGACAGCGGCTCTATTCTTAATCGGTACGTGAAAAGAGACCGCTAAAACGTACATGACTAACTTCAGAACGCAGATTCAGCCAAGACATGACATTGATCGACCAGAACCTTCCTCTTGCCTTTATTCTCACGCTTGAACGTAAGTATATCGCTATATCTTATGATTCGCGATTTCTGACTGGCGGTTCCCAGTACTCTTCAGGATCATTGTTCAAATTGGAGTTCTGTCATCCGGTGCCTCGTACGCTGCGGCCTTCATCCCATTCGCAATCCTATGTCTGTACATGATCCAAAAATACTACTTGCGCACCTCGCGCCAAATGCGTTTTCTCGACATCGAAATGAAGGCGCCCCTTTACACCCAGTTTACTGAAACTCTCGCCGGTCTCGCGACAGTCCGTTCCTTTGGCTGGTCCGAGGGCCTTATGCGAGATTACCAGAAGCACCTGAACACTTCCCAAAGGCCGTACTATCTCATGTTTTGCATCCAGAGATGGTTACAAGTTGTTTTGAACCTGTTTGTCGCTGGTGTGGCCGTCTTTCTGGTGTCGCTCGCTCTCCGCGTCTCAGGGGCTTCCAGTCAAGGATCCATTGCTTTGGCTTTGGTCAATTTAGTCGCCTTCAACATCACCCTTACGGTTATGATCGAGCAGTGGACGCAACTGGAGACGTCTCTTGGTGCCATTGCTAGATTGAAAGCATTTGCTAAGGAGACACCGGACGAGAACAAGCCCAGTGAGACTGGAGTTCCTCCAGCAGACTGGCCATCAAATGGCAAGGTTGAGGTGGAGAACATTGTCGCTTCGTACAGGTGAGATTACTGAAACCACTACACTCTGTTCATTAACTAATAACAAAAGCAGTGACGACAAGGAGGTTGTTCTTCGGGATGTGTCTTTGACCATTCAACCTGGGCAGAAGGTTTGCCTATGTGGCAGGACCGGAAGGTATGTGCATTATCTCAATCGATCCCAGCCTATGCTAACTTTCAGACAGCGGAAAATCCTCGCTGCTTTTATCCTTCTTACGACTACTCGAGCTCCGTTCTGGCACAATTCGTATTGATGACATTGATATATCGACACTTTCCCGCCAGCAAGTCCGCTCACAACTCACCACTCTCCCCCAGGAGCCACTCAAGCTTTCTGGCACGATACGCCATAACCTCGACCCAGAAGACCGCATCCAAGCCGACGAAGTTCTCACCAACGCCCTTAGAAAAGCGAACATATGGCCCATTGTAGAGTCTCGTGGTGGACTCGACGCGATCGCAAGCGAGGTAGGATTCTCGGTTGGCCAACAGCAACTCTTCTGTCTCGCTCGCGCCCTGCTCTCAAGAAGCAAAATTGTCCTCTTCGACGAGGCCACGAGCAGTGTCGATTCAGCGACCGAGAAGGAGATCCGCCGCATCATAAAAGAGGAGTTTGTGGGCCGTACGATCGTCGAGGTTGCCCACCGCATTCAATCTATCGAGGAATATGATGTCGCCGTCGTGATGGGCAGCGGTAGGGTGCTCGAAGTTGGCAATCCGGAGGAGCTTCTTGGTTGCGATTCTGAGCTGAAAAGGCTATGGGAAGCTCAAGGCATCGCTGGACACGTGGAGGAGAAGTGAACGACCGTTCTGAATAACCCTTCCAGTCACATTCAAACCATGGTTCATCATGGGGAGAGGGCTGGAAACACTGTAATTATATTGTAAAAAATTCTCGCCTCGACATAAGAAGTCTCCAATCAAAGTAAATACTCTGTTAATTAAAACTAGCCACCTCAGCGCCTTCTTGGAGCCAAACATGTGTAAAATGCATCCTATCGTGCACATGTCGAAGGAAATACTGCCAATTTATTGCTTGGATCCGAGAATAGTCCATAAAACAAATCACTCAGAATATATTCAAAATACATCGTTCCAAACCCGGCCGACCATGATGTCGAATGAGGACAACAGGATGCAAGTTCTCGAGGGAGATCTCATTAAGTTACACCTTTGAATCTAGATTTCGATCCTGCATTGGTGCATCATTATTCAGCGGCACACCTGACTCTAGCAATTCATCTGGATCGCTCAACGAGCCCTTGGACAGACGGGCCCTGCTCGCATTCTCCTGTACGCCGGCGCCGCATTCACACTTTTGTCGAACTAGATGCGCGGCCATTTCTCGGTACTCCAGGTACTCCTTTGCCACCCGGTAGATGTAAATTATGCAGCCGACGAGGAGTGCAACCATGGCCAGGCTGAGTCTGTAGCTTCCGTCCAGAAGCGTCGTTGTGAGGCCTCCAACTAAGCAGATGCCTAGAATGAGAAGAGAGAGAAGCAGGGCAATCCAAAGCGCGATTGGGATGCCGCTAGGCTTGTTGTTCTGACATGTACATTGCTTCGTGTTGTTCACCCCTGGCCGGTATTGGGTGCGCTTTGGTGGATAAGAGTCGCGGTTGTGTTCGAGGACAGGAAACATACAGGCTAATTTGCTTCGTTACTTGTCGGTTCGGGCAACGTGGTGTCATTGTAAACCTGCCGTAATCCGCGACGATGACCAATCCACAGGCCAGTTGGATGCTTGCCCGTCAGCTGCGCCTCAGTTGCTGGCGACCGTGGCATCTCCCTGACCTGACTAAGAAGCCTCTATGGCTTAGTTGTAGGCTCCTGACAGTCGCTGGCCGCATCCTCCAGCAAGTATTTAAGAAAGAATGCCCTTGAAAGAAGCTCTTAAAAGGGAAGAGCTGCTAAATAGCCAGGCACTTATTGATGGTCCCATCTAATTCTAATTGAACTAATTTTGATAAGTCACAATGGATCAGTGGCGGTTGTCTTCCATTATAGTATTAAGCTTAATGGTTCTTGTCCTTGGCCATTGGTATTCGATTGGTAGAATTAGGATGCCTTGGCACTCGGGCTAGGATCGGCAGACCACCTCTTTCACTGAATACATCACATCGACAAAGGAACCAATATGAGTCACTGGTGGGTTACACGCAGAATGATTGCATATTTATCTTTCCTACAATGCTCTTTCGGAGGAAGGGTTGCGCTCTGGGAAATACACCGTGGGGGCCAATGTAACGACGTAGTAAATTGGAACTGTGTCGCGCATCATTGGGTCAGTCTCTGGTGGAGCGGTGCCCAGCAATGTATGTCTGCAGGATAATAAGAGGATGAGAGGGGTAACTTATACCCGTCGCCCCCGAGACGGGAGCTAACGTTCCCGAGCCGAGGATGCCGCTTGATCTATTTCCCACCATCACATAACTTGACGCACTGGCCAAAGGACAATCTAGTCATCTTCTCACTGCCGATTGGTGCCATATCTGCTGATCGGAATCAGCTTCGGACTTGTTGGATTCCACCACCTATACCCTCTCGCTGCTCGTTCCAGCCACTATGGAAGTCTTGGCCTCCCGATTTTGGTCAGCCCAGAATTTACCACCCTCTGTCGCAGCCTCAACATCATCAATTGAATGCCATGTGGTTTGTGTGCGCTCATTGAAGGTCTCAAGAGGGACCCAAGACTGGTCACTGTGCTGTTTGGCCGGCTGGTAGCCTCGAGTATTTCGATCCGTAGACTTCGCCTCCGAGTGCGGAATTAAGCCAATAAAACGTGCGAATAATGGTTTGAGCGAAGCCACCGAGCTACATATGATGGCCAGATTGATCTCCAGGCTAGACCAAGTGGTGATTGAGCTGCCCAAAACTGTCTTTATGGTCAATATTGCTCCCCGTGAAAACGCCAGGCTCACGACGTGAGAGGGCTTACTTGGTCTTTTGTCACGGGTGGCTGAGAAGAACATCGCAAGAGTCTGCAGCCTCAAGATAGATGCAATTGAAGCCCTGTAGAATGGTCAGTGATTTGTACATTCTGCTGCCAAAAAAGGGAATAATACACCAATCCACAAGTCAACGTTACGACAAGAATCACACGAACTCTGGCGGATACGTTAAGCTTGACTAGTATCGGGATAGGAAAGACCAGAAGAAGAAAGTCATTCGCAATGTTGATGGCAGAGAGCGTGCTGGGTAGAATTAGCTCTTTCGTTATAACGCCTGCGCTGCCACGAGACACAGATATCAAGAATGCTTACTAGTGAAGATAACCCCATTCAATACAATAGCCCGGAGTATCATGATCCCAAAACTTTCGGACAGGGATACAGCAGAAGATCGGTGTAATGCAGTTCACCACACCGTAGATAACAAACCAAGCGATGATCCATCGCAGAATCTTTCTAGGTTTTTCAGTCGAGAATATTCGATAGTAAAGCACTGAAATTGATAATTTGATGACCCATTGGCTCCATGTATATATCAAGGTCGTAAAGAATTCGGTATGTAAGAACGATTTCATATCGTCTGGGCTGACCCCATAGCCCAGGCCCAGTTCGATCTCTGCATTGCGACAAAAGGTTAATGAAATGTTGGACGACTTAGGGATAGTTAGAAGAAGCCGCGGATCTCGTACCATGGACAACAGTTCCAATGTAAGCTATCGAGAATCCCTGAGACGATAATTAGCTCGACGACAACCGGCAACGGGTCTCGTAGAGAAGTTACTCACCATGGAGAGGAAAATCAACCAGTCCTCAAACCCCACCAAACGGGTTAGGATAACCCGGCTGTATAGCCTCATCAGGACCACAGCGAAGGCTAGGCAGGTAAAGGCGAAGACAACAATGAACCAGACGCGGTTTTGAGGAACAAGCGGCACTCTAGCGAAATACCACATCATGAAAACCAATACGTTGATTCTTGTTTAGAAGGTCACGTTCCAGCGAATGCTTCGAGCACATTCGGGGTATTTAAGAATAATAGTCGAACGGCCCGAATACAGAGTTGGGGCGATTTGAGTGATACTGCGGCCGTATTAAGCAGCCTGCAGCCTTTGAGTACGGCATTGATTGCAGGGGCAAAGGGAGATGCGCGCCCGCGGCATTTGGGGCGGATGATGCAAGAATCCTACGGGTCAGCTCCGCGAGGGCCTGAAGCTGGCGTCATGCAGTCAGCAAATATGGGGTTACAACGCATTACACGTCGACTACGACGTAGGAAATTCAAACTTCCATTGTGCTGTGGCGAGTGTCGTGTTATGGTAGTATCGGTTATCTCTTGCACGAAATCGGTTTTCTCCTGGTTCACAAACCGTGAATCAATTTGCTGGTAGTCATAAGTGCCATGTCATTAGTGCCACCCTGAATATCACCAACTTGGTCTTAGGCTCCGGTAGTTGTATACAGATTGTTCTTGCTATTTCACAACAATCAAACTCCCCATAAACGCCCCTATGACCGACTCTGCACCAATTTCACGTCGAACTCCGTAATTAACTGAGTCCAGTTTAATTGATGAGGGTGAGCACATTTGAATAAAGCTTTTGAAGAGAAAGCAGAGGTCGTGAGATAGATTCGTGCCAAGTAACCAGCTCGATGTCAATTAATAACTTATCACGAGAGGGCTCATTAGTTAATCTCTATCTTTTGTCTAGTGGAGGTTTTCATTTACTAGGAAACCTAGGTATTCATCCTTATTAGTCCCTAGGACTTATTCTGCATCCCTTTCGCACAGGGAGAACTCACTACACCATAAAATCTCGCTTGTCAAGAAACTCAACTCACGATAAATCGTATGGTGAAAGCTATCCTTTCCAGACAAAATGATGAAAGAAGGTGCTGCCTTTGTTGGGTTTGATTTTCTTTTTGGTAGAATTTGATCTACTATGGGTTCAGAATCTAGCCTCCTCGACAGCCCTGAAAGTTGGTGCTCACTCTTGTCATGTTTCGAATGGCCATCGCGTAGAGTTTTCTGCCTTCTGAAATACTTTGTGCACATTTACTTTTTTAAATGCAAATACGAATAGTGTGCTGAATGTGAATGTGGCGCACCGTGAATGTGATAAAAGACAAGTTTTGATGCATGCCAAGACATCCCTCCACTCTGAACTAAAGCTGAAAAAACCATCTGCCACTCACAGCCTTTCTAGAAAGCCACACAAATAAGCCAAAGGGGGGCTGGAGAGAACAGTGCGCTTAAAGAGAGATTTAATAAGATTCCTGCCCAAAGTCTCGTGTAGGCGCCCTTTCCCTCTATTCTCCTCCGTTCTCCTGTCTTTCCCCACCAAGCTCTCACGAACCGCGACAAAAATGTCAACCACAAGCAGAGACCCTACTAGGGTCGGCTACTATATGGTTGGAACTACAGGTATTGTAGTCTTTTCTGTTTTGCCGCTTTCGAATTGATGGCTAGGCTAATTAACTGTCCACCAGCAATGCCTTTGTATTGTCGTCGTCAGTCTGATTACACCGCACTCGAAGTCTCTGGTGGAGGCTTTCGCTGTCATCACATTGATGGCCGCAATACTCTTAACATCACTGAATGCATATCGACCGATTGGGCAACTGGTTACTGGCGAAATAATCCAGCCGTGACCTCACCAACTCGAATATACTGGTACGAGCAATGCCTTTCCAACACAACGGAACCCTCTTAACAAAAACAGCTTGAGTGGTCTTGATTGTTTGACGATCCCCGTGTACCGCGATATTGAACAAACAACGGCTCATCATTCATTGGTGGGTTGCCTCAACACTTTTGACCTCTCGTCAGCAATTCAGAAAGCCTACATTACACCGCCACCTCCTGTTAGTTAGTGCGCCGTCTTTCTTGACTCAATATATATTTTTCTAATGGTAAAGGGTAGCCACAGCAGGCTTATCGGCCATTACGGCGACGACTATGACGATGACAAACGATGCTATATCCACGGCAAGCACAAACCATGGAGAGAGCAACGAGCACTCCTCCGGGCTAGATAGAAGAAATACTTCTATCGCAGCCTCAGTTGGATCGATCGGAGGCGTTAGCCTCCTAGTATTGATGTTGATCATTGGGTTCCGGCTTGGAAAGAGAAAAGCCGCACAGAACGATGGTAATCCTGGAATAAGGGGAAGCTTGAAGAGGTATATATCGTCGATCCCTCGTCCAAGGATTACCTGGGTTAGAACAGCAGCAGACACTGCCTTGAATGTGCAGCCTGACTTGGTGAATACCGACGGCGGAGCGGTCAAAGAGGAGATGAGGCCACAGGAGCTGCCAACTCCGCAAGGTAGGGCAGAGCTGCAGGTGCCACCTATTGAAATTAGTGGCGAACCGATGACGACACATAGTGGCTAATTTCTCCAGAATATGTCGTGGAAGGGACGAACAGGGTTTTCCTTCTAAGACAAAACAGCAACTATATAAAAATAGCTGGCAGGTGGGGATGAAACAGTATATCTGGATGATTTTGGGTAACACATTACTGAAAGCTCTCCGAAAATCCGAATAATGGACCTTCTAGGAAGATTTGAGCTTAACTGATATACTGTATTGAAAGGGGGTACGCTTGAGCCTAAGGAGTAGAGAGGAGATGAGGCTAGCCCCGGGCATCTAACAACAATACTATGCTGTCCTCGGTGCTTTTGCAAAAAAAAAAACTTCAAACCTGTCTATTCGCCTGTATATGTCCTAAAAACTACAGGTTTAATCAAATGCGAATCAGTCGTAACATCTTAAATGCCAAGCCTCGATCGGTAGAAGTGCGGTTTCACTTCTTTGATACCAATTGCGACGAAGAAAAGAATAATGTCTTTGTTAGTGAAGCCACTAGAGGACATAGAATGCACCTTGGTGTAAGAAGTACCTATGCAGTCTAATATAACATGATGTGATTATTATTGCAGCTACGACTTGGGTCGCAAACCCATCAGAATTTGCAGTTCTAAGCTTTCAAGATATCTGTTCTATCCCAAAAGCAGATTCACTTACATGTGAATTCTCCCTAAGATTGACAATCAATTTTTATTTGAGAACAGGTAGATTAAGTTCTATAGCTGGCTTTATAGAAATGCACTCGTGGAGTGTGATAGTCTCTCTTCGAAGAAAAATAGAATGAGGTAGTGGAAGTCACATATCAAGGGATAGGAAATATATGTGCTAATTGTGCATGGTAGTAGGTAAAGCCACCGAAAGTAAGACATATATTGCCCAATGTACCGAAGTGATGCTTCTAGTTATTTCGCTTGGGCAGAATGGTCACCTGCGCTCGCTGGCGTCCAGCTCAAACACGATCGCAGGGCTAACCCTATGCTCATGCGACACCGGCTCAGAACCATATAGCTCTTGGGGAATATTGTACGCTTCATTTGGAGGATATTGTTGCCCTCCGATAGGTGACATTTCAGTGGACTGCTCTGGGAACTTGGTAGTGCTTGAGGTACGGGGACGTTCCCGGGACTCGGAAGCAGCTGACATTGCATTTAACCGTGGTTGATGCCGTATGATGAGGATGATTCCCAATGCAATGATAGCAAGGCCAATAACGCTGCCAGCGACAGCACCACCAATGACACCTCCCGAGACATGATTCTGCGTCTCAGCTCTAGGCATCAGAGATGCTTCCGAATTCAGGTAGCACGGAGTAACGGCTTTATCCAAAAGTGGCAAGTTGACGAGAAAGACGCCACAATTGGGCAGACCCATGGTAGTGGTGGCAAATAAGGCGAGAAGGGAGACTCGGAACATGTTCTTGTTAAGGCTCGTCATGGTTCAGCTGGGAAGCTCCCTGGAATCGTTCAGATAGATTGTGACAAAATGTTCGGAAAAGAAAAGGCGCAAAGGAGAATGATGCTGCGCCTGTTTGGGGAGAGAAATGAAGAGAGTCTGATCGAAAATTTCTTTTTTATGCAGTTGGCTGTTGTCGAAGATCTTTGCCCACTTGTTGGTGCGTTGGAACTTGGGAGCTAGCATGTCATGCCACTTACGAAGCACAGCACCAACGAAGAATAAGAATGCATAGAGACATGCTCAATTCAGCCGTGCTCTCACCACTCGGGGCTTGTTTCCTCATTTGCAACACCGGACACTCGAATTTGTGGTTCGCCCCACAAACACAAGGCTGCTGGATGATATCCGTTGGCACTGCGCATAATGGAGCCTACTGCACACATGAATGATGTACTCTCCGCACTCACGAAACCCCTGATCGTCAACAAGCAAACTAGCATGCATGGAGGAGGCCATTTTGGGAGTAGCTCAGGGACCTACGCCATGTTCACCGTTCGTTATTTCATGATTACCCACGGACCAACAACCATCCTTACGAAAGACAGCACCAACGGCCATGAGAATTTCTGGGCACTCATCTGGACGCCTACACTTCGGCTCAAGCGGGATATCTCTGCTTCCTTGGGAGCCAGCTACCTTGGCGAGCTCTAACATGAGTGATTCTTGTTCAAATTTTCATCGTTCACTATAAAGTATGACTTGTGACCCGATCGCCACCGTCGTCTGCTGTCCTATTCTAGTGAAAGGCTCTATCTGTCATAATTACCTCGATCATGTAACATGTTTCAGATTATCGTCTCCCAGTCATGACTGTAGTTGCCCCACCGATGAGCAGATTCCGCCTCGCTTCCCCCAGGGCGAGGCGATCAAAGATTTGTTCGCCTACTCCTGGTCGTAGAGTCCCAACTTGTTGGATTGAAATCTGGTTCTTCGCTTTATGATCCTCTAATGAGATATTGGGCCTAAGGCAGGATTTGAATCAAGTTTGACTTATTTTATATGATAGTTGTAGCTCATAATTCATCGCAGATGCGAGTTATCATACCGCCACTCGATCCGCAATTACCCCATTGGCGGTATCAATCAACCTCAACCATTCCTTCTAATAATAGCGTGCAGTAGCCCTACTTACTCATAAAAATGAGCAACCGATATTATGGAGCAAGCCTTGATTGCTGGCTGGTTCCGTACTCGAGGCGTCGAGTAGGAGGGGCCCACTAAGGCTCCCAGTCATAGAAGCCATCTTCATTGGCGGACTGAGCCGTCCAACCCACCAAACCTGCCATCGCCAACTTGTCATAGACGGCAACGCCCGGAGTTGGCCCATCAAGAGGTACCTAGGAGGGATGGCTCGGGGTCTGACAACTCGAGTTTATCGAATTTCATACTGCTAAAATTTGACTACTACCTATATTGTACCCAAGTCTATGATAGAAGGCTGGCTTATGTACCTAGATTGCTGAAATCTACTGAAACAACTTCGATTGTCTCAACGCATAATCTGACTTATTGGCATTCTACACGCGACAATGACTAATAATAGCGCCAGCAGCCTGGCCAAAACCTCCCGTATCCTCATTGTTGGGGCTGGTGTGTTCGGCTTGAGTACCGCCATCCACGCAGCGCGCCGGGGATACACCAATATCACAGTTTTCGACCGTCAGCCGTATGAACAATCCAACTATGACTTTGACAAGGGTTGCGATGCTGCTTCAGCAGGTAAGTAGTATCCATGTTATTACTTCAGCACGATTTTGACCCATGGTAGATATCAACAAAATCGTGCGTACCGCCTACGGAGACGAGATAGATCATCAAGAAATGTGCACCGAGGCGATCAAAGAGTGGCGAGAATGGGACCAAGAGATAGCGTCTGGGAAAGACCTCCCTCCAGGCATGACGACAGAAGACAGAGTCTTCGTCAACAATGGTAGCTTGTCACTGAGCGCTACTGAGCGCTTGGATAAGTACGAGGTCGATTCTATACACGGCATGAGAGCTGCCGGGCTCGGGAAGTCTGCTCTCGTGACGTCGGATGATAGGGACCAAGCAGAGGCCAGCAAACAAGGTTTCGCACATGCCCTCGATCCATTCCGCCGCAAGGAAAAAGGACTACCGTATATCGGCTTGCTTGACACAACGGGCGGCTATGCGGTAGCTGATAACGCCTGCCGTCTGGCTCTTCACAAAGCCAAGAGGCTGGGTGTCAGGTTTGTGTTTGGAGATAACAGGGGCTCCTTGAAGGAGTTGGTCTATCGCGACGAGTCCAGGACTGACGTGACCGGGATTATTACGGAAGACGGCTCAGTCCATAGCGCCTCACTCGTGCTCCTCGCCTGCGGTGGGTGGACGCCTGCATTGGTGCCTCAGCTCGACGGGATCACCGAGGCCACGGCCGGGTCTGTAGCTTTGGTGAAGATCCCGCCTACTTCCCGCCTGAGGGAGAAGTACTCTGAAAAGAACTTCCCAACTTTCCAGTTCAGGATGTACGGTGGCAGAAACGGAGGACTCTATGGATTCGCGTGTGACAATCGTGGCGTTTTGAAGATTGGTTATCGAGGCACCAGATACACCAACCCTCTGGTACAGCCAGATGGCAAGGAGAGGAGCGTTCCAATAACCCGTTGGACGCTGCCACACCGCACCGATAAGATCGCCGCTCACGCCCTGGCTGTTATCAACCACTTCATTGACGAAGAAATGCCAGATGTCCGTGCCGAGGGCCTTGGTATCACACGCACTCGACTATGCTGGTACACAGACACCTTTGACGATCACTATATTATCGATTACGTGCCTGAGAGTACGAGCCTGATGGTAGCAACAGGCTGCAGCGGGCACGCTTTCAAGTTTCTTCCCAATATCGGGAAACATGTAGTTGATATCTGGGAGAGAGAGGCGACAGACCAACTGCCCAAGTCGAGATGGCTGTGGAGGCAGCTGCGTGAGGGTCAGAAGCCGGACAATATCATCATGCAAGGGAGCGCAGGGCCAAACACCTTGTCTAAAGCGAATATGGTACTCCTGGTCCAGGAGGCACCCCTTGCTAAACTGTGAATGACAGAGTTGTCTGTGACTGGCTGGAAAATCGATGATGGAAATTCTTATTTTATTTCCGTTGTTGGGTCTGACTTCTTCTTTTGTTTTAACTTTCTATCCAAACTCTCTCCGGTATGTCCGTTAAAGTAGACCTTAGAGACCAAAACAGAAGACAGATGAACTCTTTTTCGTAAGGTTTTGTAGCTACTGCCGTGGTGAAAGGGGAACTAAAGAAATATTATATTAATTCCTTTTTGTACACTACGTAATACAACGGGTGAGAGGGTTCGAGTATCAAGTTAAAAAACAGCAATGAAAGATTCCAGACCCGACATCTCAAAACAATGAATCCTACGAGGCCATAACAAGAGTAAATTTGGAGAAACTTCTTCGGTTAACGAATGGCATCGTGGGATCAGGAGCAAGACATATTTTCATACAATCGACTTATTCTGCACGTTGGTCCAGAAAGTCCTGCAAAACAAATACTAAATGATTCCTGGGCCGAGATGTCTCATTTCACACCAATGACGTGAAATGTACAGACAAGCATTCATGTACTATCCCTTTCCTCCTATAATCACCCGGTGGGTTGCTAAGTTACGCGTCGTGTCCAAGTGTGCTTCTAGGTGAGACTAAACGTCGCATCTGCCACAACTTTTTAATGGTTTCTCTCCTTGTACTGCCTAGCAGCATAATAGTGGTATCTCGCAGCAAAACGAGCCCGGAACATGTTTCCCCACTTGATGAAGACAATGAAGAACAAAAGAATGATGCACGCAATGGCCAGAATGGTGACCATCACCCATTTGATTCCCACCTTTGCAGCCCAAGGTGTGACGGCGAAGACAAAGGCAGTGCTAAAGGTATTTCGGACGACGGTCACACCAACCAAGGCGTCTCCAATTATCTATCACAATGATTAGATTTTCTGTCAGTGCAAGAGGGCATGAAAATGATCAAACTTACGTCTTGATAGCAATCGGTCAAGTAGGTCAAAACAATAGTGTTGATCGAAGTGATCCCAATCTGGTACAAAGCGAGTCCAACTGCAATGACAGGCCAAGGCACAGAGTTGTTCAGGCCAATACCGAACATCAATGAACCAGCAGGGACGAACGCCAGGAAGGGGATAATGCACCACAACCGGGTTTCTGGCTGATATATGCCTTTATTGCGGCGGGCGAGGTACACTATCCACCAATCGCTGAGGGGCCCAACAAGAGGGCCAATCGTGGAGCCGATCATTCTAGGGATGCTCATGAGGCCAATCTGGTCAGAGTTGAAACTGTAAGGCGGCTCGGGCAGATAAGTTGACAACGTGGCAGACATGGTATCTCCCAATCCCGTCAAAATGCCATAAACGAGCGCTGCGAAGGCTACAGCCGGGATGGTGCCGAGGAGGACGAGAGGCTGCCAGGTGTGACGGAGAAAAGACTGGGCCCCTCCCTCGGAGGACGAAGTGGTGGTGAGGATGGCCAGTCTCTGCCTGTAGGTCTTGACCGGAATGTCGGGGTTTATGTGAACCGTGTAAAGATCTGCGGGCAAGTCTTGCTCTGCTTCCGGGATCGACCTGGGAGGTTTGGCGACGCCCTGACCAGAGACGACCTTCTCGTCCACTTTCTCCCCATCAGCACTTGTCAGAGCTGTATCCTGAGGCTCCGTCGATTGAGGCAGGCTTGTAGAGAAGGGTGGGATATATTTAGTCTCCTCGTAACCGAAGAACACGACAAATATCGTTATACCAAAAAAGATGACGTTCCACCACCAGATCCATCTCCATCCCTGGCCCTTGGCCACGAAACCAGCGATCAAGATACCGAGATAAGTGGCGACATACCAAGTCCAGACGTAGAATGCGTTCATCTTTCCGCGCTGGTGCACAAAGAACAGGTCCGCGATAGTCATCTGGACGATGGTCTCCGCAAGACTGCCGAAAAAGCATTGGAGGATGTTGATCAGCATTATGTCCGCGACGGTCTGCATCTTTGCCGACCAAATACTGAGACCGAACTGCAGCACCGTGCTAAAGATATATATGGGTCGACGGCCATACTTGAGGGCGAATGGGATCAAGATGATGGAACCAAGCCCGAGAGAAGCGCAGCCCACAGCATAGCTGTCATTCAGGATTTCGTATGAGTATCCGAGCTCCTTATTCATAGCTCCCCACGTTGGCGAACTGGCATTAATGAACTCGGCGACCATGGCCACGTAGAAACAAACAAGGGCAAAGTTCCAGTTCTTGCGCCATTTGGACCAGTTGAGTGGATCATTGGGGTCTTCGCTCGGTCGTGGTTGTAAGATGACCTGCTTGTTTTCTGACGGCCTCATGTCGTCAAGGCAGATGGTGCCAGGCGGCCACAGTGTTGTGGAGCCTTCCACCCGGTGGTCTTCATGGGTTTGCTTCGCCATGATGGGGATTGGGAGATGACACCGAGTCGAAAGGTTGTGGTTCGAGGATACCAACTAAGACGATGGTGAGACTGACTTGAGAAACGCCTAGAGTAGCGGCGAGGGTTCGAGAGACTTGAAGCGAAAAGAGCGAAACTGGGCGAAGCAGTAGTGAGGTTTTATCGAATGCAATGGCTTCTACTAGCCACAGATTCACAGCAGCTTCATCTAGCTTGCCTCTATTGATACCGCAAATCGATAGAGCGCGATGCTCTCATTGGTGGCAGGATCCGGCCGGTTGTATCATGTATGACTCCACATCCAGCTCAACCTTGTTCTTGGTCGGTGGTGTAAAACAAACGTAGCTTAGGGGTTATCCCCGGATTCCAGCGGATGGGTGAAGCCTATCTTGTGATACTACGGATAAGCTATGGTTATAGAAGAACATTTTGCAAGTTCACCAGTGCTAGCCATTACAAAAGCAAGACTCTCAAAATGACTCGGCTCATTCCACTTATCAGGCTCTATTATCATACTCTCTCGGGTCGGCCCACCAATAGAATGCGGCACCACTCCTCCACCCCAAGCGTTCTGACTCGTGAGCACATGTGGAGTATGCTCCAGACAAAATTGAGAGTGGAGAGAGCCAAAGGCTGGATTCATCCGTTCGGCACCATACTCCGGCTATCCCAAGGCCGATAGCAGCCGTTATTGCATTCCTCTGGAGTAATTCTCCCGCAGGCTGCATGGGGATATTGCAGAGGGCCAAAGTGCAGCTGCCTATGTCGATATCGACTATGGAGATCTGCTGTCTCCCTCCTATGCTTGCCACTTGCTTGTTAATTAGTCTCCAAACACAAGACTCTTTTATCAGAAACACCCGTGTATTACGCTGATCCGCTAGTATTGGCCATGTATGGTAGTTGGATCTGTGGATAGCGAATTCCGTATTTATTACATCTGATCATCGCCCAGTAACCATTGTTGGTGTGAATCGCCCACTAGACTCATCAGCAATTCATCGAATCCTTCCGGTATGTCCATATCATCTATTAGTGTCATGTCCTCTGCCAGATCCCCTCCAGTCGAACTCGTAGGCTCTAACCCAGTAACCAGCGGTGGTGTTGACAATGACATCTTTTGATCAACCATCGCCATGGTCCGGTTAGCCAGGTTCTCAAAGATATCGCGGTAGGTTGCTGCTTCATGCCATCTCTCTGCCATGATGACTAGGACCACAGTACAATTGCTGCAAGTGCTGTGGACTTGACCTTGCATATGTGCCTCGCGCGCCGTGGGAAACGTCCAGATACAGTGAAGATACATCAGCCCGGCTAGGAAAACCTCATGGAGTGCTGCCCACGTGCAGGTCATTGACCTCTGCATGTACAGCCGGCGATAAGTCTGGCACATGCTCTGGGCGGCGTGTAGGCAGATGAGGATAGCAGGGTCCGCGGGGTCCGTTTGGCCATGGGTGATCTGCCTTCGGTAGAGTTGTAAAAGGACGTAGTGATACTCCAAGTCAAACCAAGCTGCAGTTGCAAACAGCGAGAGCTCTTGGCCTTTACTGGGCATGGTGGGGGCGGATGCTCGCCAGTTGTCGACTTCCGTACGGAACTTAGCCACTTGAGCTCGATAAGTTTCATCCGCCGGGTCACAAATCGTAACATCGGAGTATAGCGCACCATGAATGCGGCTCATGAGTTTTCGGATGCGAAAGTGATGAATAGCCCGTGCCATGACTGTTGGGAGATTGCCTAGGGTGTTATCATGTGGGAGGGTGAATATCCCACCTACAGTGATACTCGAGTCCTCAACATTCATTGGGAACTGCTATAGGTCAGATATCTTCCACGATTCCAAGATATGTCTGTGAGTCTGTATCAAAATAAGGGTAACTAAATCGTACCTCGGCATCTATTTCTTGGTAAGGTATACCTTGAGGTCGGCCGAGCATGATGGCTGACTGAGAGTCCATGGAATATGCACACCAAAAGATCCTCTTGCGCAGCTCTAGCCGCAGTTGATCAATGTTCGAGCTACGGCGGCCCGATAATCTACGGTGATAGCCAAGATCAATGCACTGGCGAAGTGCTAGACCGGCAAGTTTCCTGCGTTGTGTAAGTAATGGCTTTTTGGTAGTCTGGGCTCGCGCATACCAATGGGAGGTTCCTATGGATGATCGGAGCGAGTATACGGCGCAACATAGAATAGCCTGAACAGCTTCGTAATTATTGCGCGCCAGGATGGGCTCGGCGTACATCTGCGCGAAAACATACAATTGCTATGAGGCCAGTTAGCCAGAGTGGTTTAATTGGAGTGTATCAACTTGCCTCTGCCGAATAGCCACAGTTCGGTAACATAAGCGCTCCGATGGCATACACCTAGGACAGAGTTCAGCTTTTTGCTACCTGAGGGAGGATTTGACTCCCAAATTACCATGTTCAGGAAAAAGAAAGGGGCGGGGTCTGATGGTCGAGCCTCGAGCTCTGCCGGATGATTTAATAAAGTAGTCTCCCATGCCCTGAATGTGGGCTCATGTAAGAACGGGTACTGAGGGTGGATGTTGTGGAAATACGCATTGCTAAGTTGAAGTGCCGCTTCAAAGTTGGGTAACTGGTATGCCTCTGGGTGGATGGCCAAATCACCCCCGACCCGCCGGTCTATGCCAGAGTTGTGTGACATGCTCGAGGAAGTTGGGACTTCATGGCGCAACGAGGCGGTGATCAAACGGGAAAACGCAAAGGTCGAAGATGAACCGAGATAGTGAGGCTCGGCCCCAGCTGCATTCAGACTTAAAAGGCCAACTTTGGAGGCTAAGTCGTTCAAATGTTCAGGTTCATCATCAATCCCTTCAATCCTGCCGGAATTGTGTTGTTCACCGGCCACATTGCCGCCGGTCTGATTGGAGAAAGGAGATGTCGACGGCGGTTCTGGTTGCGGGTTGTTGGGCGATACTAGATGATCATCAGCCAGCTCAGGGCGGCATTGTCTCAAAAGCCCCTCCAGGTAGGCCACGCGTTGCTCTAGAACATCAACGTAGTTTCGTGGCTGCTGCCTTCTCGTGGCGGGATCTTCCACTAGGCATGCTAATAATCCTTGAAGTTAGGGCAAAGCTTATGAGATCAGATACAGCACGGAACTTGTTTCGTGCCTTCTGAGGAATGAACCCACCACTGCCTGACCGGCGACAGTTCTCGCACTCGGGGATTTTATTGTCACACTGGCTCTGTTAGTTGAGCAGCCAAGGAAAGGCCTAGTTATTGCACCAACCTTTAATTTCTTTTCTTTGCAGTTTATACACGCGATCTGTGTTCTATTTCCTGGCCGACGCTGATGGTGGCTTCTGTTCATTCTGAAACATAATACAGAATACAAATGCTGAGTCTTGTTTTTGAACCCGGGCTCACGTCAAGATGTATAGATAAATGATAACAAAACACGTGAATAGATAAACTTTTGTGGCGGCGTAGAGAAGCGGAGCGGGGATGGAGGGTAAGTTCCTCGTAAGTTCCTCGAGGACGTGTGAAGCAGCAAGTTGATTGCCTCCAGCGGTATCAAGAGACTGAAGACAGAGGCAGTACGTTGCTGTTACGTTTGATTAGGTAGGTGGCAGTATGAAATTGACTAAAGGTGGGAAGATGGAAACGAAGGTAATGGATCAATAGCGCGGGACGCGGGACGGCGCCATAAAAGTCCGGCGGGGTTCTACAGGCGGCCTCAGGAGCAATTGGCAATGATTTGGGGCACCCTAGACGCTTGTTCCAGTGCACTATATTCCAGTGCACTATATTCCAGTGCACTATATTCCAGTGCACTATATTCCAGTGCACTATATTCCAGTGCACTATATGGGGGGGCTCTGAGCACATGCATCATATGGATTAATTCAAGAACCAAAAATCAATATCATTCATTGGCTATTCAATTGCTAGAATTTTATAATGATTTTACTTTAGTGGATTTTATATCTAGTTGTTCAAGGGGATTTTGATATTTCGAATTGATATATGTAATAGATGGTCATCTAATAAAATAGCAGCCTTATCAGCTCAAACATCAAGGTGTAAAACGAGCCGTGAAGTGTCCGAATAATAGCAAATTGTTGCGTTTTTACAATGCATTGAAGACACCTCCGCAAGCTCCTTTAGTACACTGCACCAATGTGCTTTTTGTCCGGAGGTAAGCCTGTATGCCCTCATGACCATTCTCCAACCCTATGCCGCTCATCTTCCAACCACCGACGGGCATTTCTGCTGGGCTTTCACCCCATGTATTGATCCAGGTTATCCCAGCATCTAATTGTTGGATAACTCTTTGAGCGAGTCCAATGTCTGACGCAACAACACCGGCTGCAAGGCCAAACTCAGTATCATTTGCACGCTCTATCAGCTTAGACAGCCACTCCTCTTCCGAACCCTCGGTGCTATAAGGGAGAAGGCACATGACGGGGCCAAATATCTCCTCTCGACAGATACGCATATCATCAGTGCAACCGGTAAAGATGACAGGAGCTACCCAGAAGCCTTCTTTGGTTGGAAAGCGTAAATCGATGCTGCCATCGTATAATACCTTTGCCTTGTCTTGCTCACGGCCATGTTGAATATAGGAATTGATCTTGTCTTGTTGCGTAGCAGACACAACAGGTCCGAAATTAGTATCATGTTCCTTCGGCAACCCCATCCGGACCCCTTCACGACATCGCTTCACTAAAGCTTGTTCAACTTGGCCAAGGAGCACATCAGGGGCGAATACACGTGTACCGTTTGTGCAAACTTGCCCCGTGGAAAAGAAGTTGGCCATCATGGCGATATCAGAAGCTTCTTCCACATCTGCATCTGGCATAATCAGAAGTGGACTCTTCCCGCCAAGTTCCATTGTAATACCCTTGAGATCTCTCGCTGCCTGGCTGGCAACTTTACTGCCAGTACTGACCTGGCCCGTAAAGCTGACTTTGGCGATGCCAGGGTGGGCGACTAATGGTGCACCAGTAGTAGGTCCGTCGCCATACACGACGTTAAAGACTCCAGGTGGTAGACCAGCCTCGACGTATATCTGGGCGAGGATATTGGCATGAAGAGGCGTCACCTCGCTTGGCTTGTATACCATACAGTTTCCCGCGGCGAGACAGGGTGCTGATTTCCATAGCGCGATCTGAATAGGATAGTTCCAGGCGCCAATTCCAGCGCACACGCCGATAGGTTCATATGTAACAGAGACGTATGCGTCGGGTCGCAGCTTGATGTGCTGCCCACCGATGCCATCAGTGATGAAGTGTGCATAGTACTCCAGAACTTCAACACCAGTGACAATGTCGACGGTGGATGTTTCTGACCATGCTTTACCAGTGTCAAGGGTTTCCACAAGAGCTAAATCGTCGTTTCGCTCTCGCAGAATCGCTGCAGCGCGGAGCAAGACAGCAGCTCGCTCTTTGGCTGGTGTTCGCGACCACTGTTTGAAGGCATTCTGGGCAGAAGAAATGGCATGGTCGAGTTGCTCGGAGGTGGTGATGTAAATGGTGGCAAGCGATTCTCCCGTGCTGGGGTCAATAGATGTGAATTTGAGAGAAGAAGAGGATAATTTAGGCTGTGTTTTGCCCGAATGAAAGGTATGTATCTCTCTTGCGTATGTCATCCTTATTATTAAATACCTACCCAAGAAGATGCTGAGATCAATTCATATATTGCCCTGTATCTGTGGAGCGAAGGCCAGTATTGCCAGGAAATAGGCCGAGTAGTTAGCTTGAAAGTTATAATGAGGATAGAAACAATGAATCTATATCATCTAAAGAAGGGCTTCGTAAAATACTCAGCTGTAAGATAAGTAATATAGCATGCGATCTCTTTGGTGGGAATCGTGTTGGCGCGGCCCGTCCCCACAACTTTGGCCTCATGCCACTCACGCCTTCTCACTCCACCGCGGACCGTCCCCATTACAGATTGCAGCTGTTTCTACTTCCAAAAAAGTCGAGAGATTGGCTTTGGTAGTTGAATTGAAAATCGTCCTAACGTAAATGAAGAGAGCGAGATCGGACTTTACTTCACGTGAGCGGATTCGCACGGGGTTTCTCATGAGATGCCCTGATATGATAAGATTGTGTACTGTCGAGTTTGTCTCTTGCAACAGAACATAAATATGGCAGAACATATCCGTTGCATTTATCTTTCCCAACAAACATAACCACACTTCATAATCATCCCTCAACTACAGCATCTACCACAGTCACATCAACAACCAATATCAATCGCAAACATGGCAGACTACGGTGTTATTGGTATGTTCTGGACGCAGAAGAATGGCATACAGAAAGCTAACTTAGGAAGGCCTTGGAATTATTGGTTATGGCATGGCCAGTAACCTGCGCAAAAAGATTCCTGCTTCTTCAACGCTTCATGTTCTGGACCTGGACCAGACTATCATTCAGCGACTCATTAACGAGTACGGCAGCTACGGCAAGATCGAAGCCGCATCTTCAGCAAAGGACCTTGTGACGAAGGTCGGTGCTGGAGTTGTTCTTTCCAGTCTTCCTGCAGGCCCACATGTTCGCAAAGTCTATCTCGACCCTGAGAACGGTGTCATCGCAGCTGCTAAGAACCCTGAGCGGCTCATTATCGAGTGCAGTACTATTGAAATTGAATTCACGCAAGAGCTCGGCAAGACTATTATTGATGCTGGACTGGGTCATTTTGTCGATGCTACCGTGTCCGGCGGCATGTGGGGTGCCAACGCAGGAACACTCTCCTTCATGATCGGTCACCCTGAACCCACCGAGGGCGACAAGGTCGGAAAGCGTATCTATGACAGCCTTTCTTTTGTTGGCGTACCTAGCACACTTGCATTCTGCGGTGGTCTCGGAATGGGTCAAGTAGCCAAGATTGCTCATAACTACATCACCTTGTCAAACAACTTGGTTGCAACCGAGGGAATGGCCATCGGTCTCAAGTACGGCATCGATAAGAAGGCTCTCTTCAAGTGTATCAGAGAGGGAACTGCCAACTCCTGGGTTATGGGACTTGAGCAGCCGGTTCCCGGTCTTGTGCCCGATGCTCCTTCCAGCAACAACTACAAGCGAGCCTTCGCTCCCGCTTTGAGCGTGAAGGATCTTACCATTGGTATTAATGCTGCCAAGAAGGTCGGCATTGCCCCCACAGCCGGTGAGGCTGCCATCAAGGCCTTCAGGGAAGTTGATGCCGACCCACGAACACATGTGAGTACCTTCAAGAGGTGCTATCCGAACTATACCATACTGATTCGTGCTGCATCAGGACCTTGATCACACCTCCTTGTGGCTCCACGTCTATGGCAACCTTGATGAGTGGGCTAAGGAGAACCTGAAGAACTAAGAAATGTGTGGCAAGATGAGCGATGGTCAATGGAGGAAACTCACACAAGTATCAACCCGTACGTATGAATAGATTTCTTTTCGCGTTTGATGCGATCACGGCCAATACTTGCTATGGCAATGTCCTGCCTCTCAACTAGTAGACGGGTGGGGTCGGGTTCTTTGCCGTGTTTGTGGAGTTTGTATCGTGAGACGTGAATTTGTGAGCAGGAATGGGTTCTAATTGGCATTTGCGGCGCCAGAAACTCAGTATGAGACCAGACGGGAAGCGCGGCAAATCTGGAGCTCAATTTCAGAGCTGGCCGATGTGATAGCGAAACTATATACGCCCATTGGAGGAGTTTGCCAACCATACCATGACCAACCTTTAGCCAGGTCTCATTGTCCTTTAAAGTTAAACTCAAACAGCTATCTTCCAGAAAGCACAAGAAATCAATTACTATTCTTAGACTACATCAGTCATATCAAAGTTTATCCAGTCTTTCACCGCCCTACCAAAGTCCTCGGCTTGTAAAAGAAAGCTACTCTCGTCCATGGTAGTATTGTCTGGAGTATCATGAATATAATCCCCCAGAACAGTGAATTCCTGCGTCCCATCTGCGCTTCTGTCCGATACAGAGCATCTTCTGAGTGTTTCATAGGGGTCTTTATCCTGAGGTGCATAGGCTGAGATGTCCCGTAATGCTCCTTTATGGCCAGAGATACCTGCCGAGCCTACTATTGAAAGATCTTCTCCGACGTCCTGTTCCTGATGTTCAACATGCATAGTGACCACATCTTCGTACATTGTCCTATCTTCGGAAGTCTGATCACGGCCTGCCTTCTCGAGAACTAGGATATCCCAGAGTAATTGGGCGTCAATGGACCACGAAGGATTGGTGCCCCCTGACTCATTGTTACTCATCTGCACGGTAGAAACACTGCCCTGCAATTTCCGTAGATTTTGGGTCTCAAATATACATGTCAGTATATGCAATTACTTAAACATTTGTACGTTGGATTCATACCATATTAAATACCAAGGGCCAATTGGTTCCATATTGGTCCAGAAAGCGTAAGCATTTATCGTAACCGCGCTGTGCTTTGGTGCGAAGCACACTATCCTCGACGAAACTGTGCTGGAGATGGATTGTTGCGACTATAAGGACGGCGTGAGCAATGGTAGGATCAGTGATATGAAATTGCTGTTTCTCCACCAAATCAAGATAGCAGATGATCCATGCTGTATGTTTCGAAATCAAGTCGAATGATTGGTACATGAATGTCTGAGGTATCTTGTGTCGGAAGTTCTTTAGACGTAGAGACAGCAAGAAGGGGTGATTCAATAGTGTTGGAATGGCAGCATGGATAAACTGAACGAAAATCCAAGGCCCCCAAAAATCTCTGCACTCTTTCAGCACCTCGGGGGAAGTTCCCCCGAAATCATTAGTAGCGAATCGGTATTTGAGAGGAAACTGAGAGTCGAGCTCAAAGTTCTTCAAGTTGATAAGCGCGTAATCAGACTCAGGGTGCCATGGTGGAAGGCTATCCGGCCCAACTCTCATTGCCGCGTATGCTCTGGTCAAATGCCAGGCTTCGGCAGCCCTTGCCATGTATGTGAGTATACCGTACCTACTGTTTAGATCCCTCTCCATGCTTGGTTCTCGCAGTAATCTCAACTTATTGGCACGATGATTGATCACCTCCAGCAGTCGACTCCTATTTTGAAATAGAAACTGGCTATTCCCGGTTTCCACAATATCAGGAATAGATCCTTGCAAGCTCTGTAGTAGCGAAATGCTCTGAATGCATAGAGCATATTCAACCGGGTCACCCAAGGATGAGCCAACAGGGATTCCACAAGCGAAATAGTGAGCTGTCTCGAGATCAAAACCAGCTTGCGTGATTTGTCCGTCTAGATTTCAAGGTGTCAGGGGATACTTTGAGTAGTTGAGCTCAAAGGAAAGTGTTCTTACCGGCAAAGCTGGTAATGCTAAGGAGACAAAGGGTCTGTAGAGTAGACAGCCTTATTTTGCCACTGTGAATTCGATCGGTTACTAGCTTCCGACACGTGTCAGACAGTGTAGTCAGAGCTTCTCTCTCTTCCGGTGTCAGTTGTCCCGGTGGAGATCGATAGCCTAGCATCTTAATCGCAAGACAGAGCTCTTCGTCTCGATGCCTAAGAGAATCAAGAAAGTTTTCGGTTCGAAAAAGACAAATTGGTTGGTTATGACACCATGTCCAGTACAACTGGCCAGCTTTTAATAGCTCATTATCTTCTGAAGATGGTTGCCTGTAGTAGATTAATAAGATGCCTCTAACAAACGTACATCTTGTCAACTCAGCTTACAGAAAAGAATCACGTCCTTTTTGCATCATTACACCTTGTGATGTACTTGCAGAATCACTCTGAACAGCTCTGGATATCAGACATGAGGAGGAAGCTGTTGGTGATTGAAGTTGGGCGTGTAGGATATCACTGTGATGAATGTTAGTTAAGCGCATTTTCCTCTGCATGATTCCCACTTGCCTGAGAGTTTCCATCATTTGATCTACTTTTGTTTCCAAAGAATCCATTCGCCCATGCTAAAGCTTGAGTTAGCACACAATCCCGCTGCCTTTGGTCCTCCGTTTCAAACTTACAATAACTTGGAGCTCGATCCCTTGTTGGGGGTCTATTTCGACAGACCTGTACTCGCACTTTTGCCCGAGACGCTGACAGAAGGAGCATATTGGATGCTCTCCGGGGCATTTGACTTTCTTGCGTCTTCCCGGGAGTTAGAACCTCAGTAAAGCTAGGGAGAAACCAAACGTACCGACACGGAACACAAGCACGGTGAGTCCTCCTATACTTAATATCATCCATATCAGAGGGAAAGTTAGGCAAATAAAACTATGTATCGAAAGATATTACTGCCGTGATACTTCCATTCCATAAGATTTTGGGCTCTTCAAACGCTCAGGTTGAGGTGCCCCTCAGATTCATATCCCGGCGAACCGGCCGGGAACCGCTCACGTGACACCCTTCACAACATTGAACCCCACAGATGCTTAGGTACGTATAATGGCCCACCATAATAAGCTTGATGAAATCAGGCAACCAGCCGGACACCTCTTATTCGGTGGCCTCCCATTAGGCCAGATTAGCAGATCTTGACGTCACTCCTCATATCCCCACCTTCATCGGGCCTCAACAATTCACGATCCGTGAGAACAACCAGTGCCGACGTGCCTTTATAGATATCTCTACTTTTTGACATCGCAGGCGTTATTTGCCACGGAACAAAATGCCCATCACCCTTCAGGTCGTTGACCATGAGGCAAAGGCCTGGGGAGGAGCGAGAACTGCTGATGCTTCCCAGCTCCTAGAGCTAGCAGCTCCAAAGCATTCCCGGCGGTGCAAAAAGCTCGTTCAAGCCTCTTTCGCCCCCGACGAGTTCAGTCAAGGACATATTACCGCAGCAAACAACGGCTTCTTCTGGACGGCGTATGAAGCCTACAGCTCGCATCATCACCTGGTGATTCGCCCAGAGGACGTCTGGTTTGCCATCTTGACACAGCTAAGCTTCTACATCAACGCCCACGCAGAGGACCTGCGCTCCTTCTTTGTGGCCCACTCAGGGCAGAAGCATCTTCACCTAGACGTGGACGAACTTGATTTTGCATACGTTGCGAAGGAGATGACTCATCTGATTGCCAAGAATGTCGTCGATCCTGAGCTGCGTGGTTGGGTCATGCCCTCTTTCTCCACCACTACCGATAGTGATAAGGTTGTTGGCGCTATTCTCTTCATGGGGGCGATGCAAAAGTATTTCTCCTACGGCGTCAGTGTCACATGCGGTATACCCTCTGTCACCTTGCTTGGTGAGGTCGACGACTGGAAGGATATCCTCAACCGCATCGACAAGATCGACCCACTGGGGTCTGAACCAACTCAATTCGCCGGGATGCTGCGCCCAATCCTAAACGGTATGATCACATCCTTTCAAAACCCCGATAGCTTCGAAACAATGGAGTTTTGGAACACCATTGTGCATAAGGTCAGCTTGGATAGTGGCACAGACTATCTGACAGGGTGGCTCACGGCTTTCGGTTTCTGGGACGAGGATGGTACGGCCAAGAGACTTTCAAACAAGATGTTCAACGACATATTGTACCCCACGATTGACATTGACAGTGTCCCCGCCGGGTATGCATCTGTACCTATCTCGGTCAATGACGATGGGGACATGTATGAGGCGACCATGGTGGCCGGCTCGGTTGGCACTTCTGCCACTTCCTCAACTTCTGACACGGGGAGGACAACTAATGCTCGCGGCAGTCAGGGTCCATCCAATCAGTCAGCAGAGGGGCAAGAGCGTGAATCTATTGTGCGCGACACCATTCAACCCGTTTCGGGGTGGTGGGTGTGCAGGAATGAGGCAGCCGAGGAGACGGAGGCAAGAGAAACTGAGAAAACACGACTCCGAGCAGAGATTGAAAGGGTAGGAATGGAAGACTTTAACGCGTGGTTGGCGTTGTATTCGAAATTAGAAGAGCTTGAGGCATACTGAAAGAAGTGGGAGTCGACTGTGCTAACTCTAGAAATCATAGTAGATCCTATAGTCAAAATATAAATTATTCTTTCTTTGTCAGACATTTCCTTCATTTGGTGTCTCTAAAGGTTAAATATGAATGGCAGAGAGGGGTGCTTCCACCATTTACCAACCATTCGGACATCAGTAATCTCATCATCTCCTTAGCCATCATGCAGCTTCACCCCCAGCAAATCCCCAGAATCCAAGCCACTTCTAGAAGAGCAAAAATTAGCAGGCCACCCTTCTCTCAACTCATGGAGGTCGGCGAACGTAATCAGCATGAAACCCATTACATTAGATTTGGATAGTACGCCAGAGTCGTATGATGCGCCAGGGGCTTGCCCCGATGCCTGAAGTTAAATACAATATCCTATCAACCAAGTCGTCTTGGTCTCAGTCAACCAGTTCTCCATTTTTCATTCTGTATTTTACCTTGAAAATAAGCTTTTGAATAGAGGCAATTTCGAATTTACTAAGGGAGCTGTGGGATAAAAAGAGTGATATTCCCAGGCAGAAGCTCCCCTTGGGCTAAATCTTGATTTTTCAATGGTAACAAAGAACAAACCCTGAATCCAAGCACCAGTACGGAGCCCTCATTTCAATACAGTTGTTGAATATATCACCGTTCTAGTTATAGCCTTAATCTCCTGCCAGCCCAGTGCGTATACCATCTTTGGAGAGAATGTATAGTGAATTTACAAATCTACCGCCTCCAAGGGCCGTGCTTGTGCTCCATCGAATATACGCCTAAATAGTATGCGACACTGCCTGGATCTACTTTCTCGTTGATCCTCCAACTCGCCACAGCAATTCGCATTGCTGGTTTCCCTTCCCAAGTTGTCTTACCTACATACAAGACGCCATCATTATTGATCTCATCCGCTAGTTTGTCATTAAGACTATCGTCTGTGGCTCGAAAAAGCAGGGTGAAATGAATATCATGCATGTCGCTCACAAGAGCGCGAATCTTGCCCAAGGTACTATCGCCTGGCAGTAAGACGTACCCTGGCTCGAAGGCGATAATCTTTGCTATAGCGCGGGTCGATCTCACGAGCCGAGCAAGCATCTGACTGAGACGGTCTCTGCCTTCGCAAAGCAGAACGGCATACACCGGCAAGGCGCGGAATCGGCGTGAGTTCTCAATCCCAATATTCCGAGGACTCTGTACAGAGCCATCTGCCAGTGACAAGGACCTCTCACCGGCGTTGTTACAGACAGCATATAACGTGGAAGCCTTGCGCGTGTAAAAGACTCCTGTGTCGTAGGGGACGTTAAGAACAGAATGCAGCTCGGCAGTGATACTGTCAGCCAGCTCCAGACCAGCAGCATACTCTTTGAGACGTGCAAATTCCTTGTCCTCTGGTAGAGCACGAGTGTATATGCCCAATGCCCCGTCAACGTGAAGCCAGGCGTTGTACTTGGTCGCTAGGTCTCTCAACTTCTTCATGTCACTAATGCCCGTTGTTGCGAATCTTCCAGTCATGACATCGCCAAAGCTCACAGCAATGATATTCGCGACTCCCTCTTTCTGCAATTCCTTTTCGACAGCTTTGATGTCGAGTCGCCACGGCTCTGTTTCGCTGTACGGCAGGACTTTCACCGCATTCCTTCCCAAGCCAACGATGGACGCAGCCTTAGCAAGCGAGCTATGCCCCCCATCGGCGAGGATCTGGATCTTCTTCACGCCAGCTTGCATACAGGCATCCAGTATGCCCAAATCCGCCACACTCTCCGAGTCCTCGGGAAGTCTAGCCTGTATCACTTTCTCACGCCCGCAAGCGATCCCAAGCACGTTCCCCGCCACAGCCCCAGTCGTGAAAGTCCTCCCCTCCCACTCTTCCGGTTTCCCCAGATGGAACAGATCTATGAGCATCACCAGCGTTGCGTCCTCCACCTCGGTAGCGATTGATTCTCGGGGCAGGTGTGTAGACACGTCCTGGTCAAACGCACTGACGAGGTTCTCCGCGATCTCTGCGATCGTCAGCGTGCCCCCCGTCGCAGATCCTCCCCAATATGTCGCAGTCCGGTTTTGGCCATTGAGAGCTGTCGCGATATCATCGATGAGATGGTCCAAGGTATCAGGATAGCCCTTCTCACTTAGATAGCTCTCGGCTGATGGGTTTGGCAGCGCGGCCCGGGCTTTAGTCAGTTTCGCCTCATTGGAGGTTGGGCGCGCCGGGACGTTGACCGAGGATGCGACGGCCTTGCGGATGCGTAGGTAAGTCTCCGTCCGAATGTCGTCCATCTTGAGGTCTGTTTATTTAGACAGATTGTGATTCCTCCTGCCCCAAAGATGTTTGTAGCCCGAGTTTTCATTAATCTTCGCAAGCTGCGTTGGGCGGAGTCGTGGGCTCATCGACGGGCTGACTCCTTTTCAGCTCTACGCTTCAGCCGCATCAGCCCCACGCTACGCGCATTGGAGTCATTTCATCATTATGCTGCGTAGAATCAATGCGTCCATGGAGGATAGCTGCCTGCCAGATTGGATTCTAATTAGATACCATCTATCCCGCCTGCGCCCTAGGGAGCCGCGTATTGCAGAACGAATACTGGGTTGCCAGACTTGAAAAATGCCATGGAAAGTCGCGGCTTTCCAAGGTGACAAAATAGTGGCACACTAGCAATTGAGTGGTATGGATCCTCTTTACGATGAGGGTGTAACCCAATATCCTTATTCTTCCCTTGGCAGATGTTTCGATTCTTGCTCTAAAATCCGTGAGACTCCGCGACGGCTTCCGCCATCTTCATACACTCAGCATTGCACAAGTTGCATATACTTAGCAAGCTCTTAATTCATGGTTCGATGTCTCAAATTTCAATCCTAGTTTAATTCTGGTTCTCATTACACGTAATTCTAGGAGCAATTGTGCGGGTATATTATACATTCTATAAATATGGAGATGACTAAATGAGACAAGGAGGTCTAGCTCGAGCTCGACTCTTCAGACTCGAGTTTCTCCCTCTTCTTCTGGTCGGCCACTAGGCAACGTTGCCTCACGGACCAGGCGCTGCCCAAACTACCAAGAAGCCACCAGGCGAAAAGGACGGGAAGGCAAATCTCTTTCTCGGACCTACAGCCCCCGGACCAAATCTCCAGCAGTAGAATCCAGGTGCTGCGGGCAGGCAAGGCATACCCCCACCGGTAGAACCCCGCCGTGAGCTCGAATGGGTTGACGGTGCTTCCAATATTGGTGATGATCCAGGTTACGAGAAAGAAGGCGAAGAATTGGAGGGGCACGACTGATTCCATCATCGTGTCGATGACGAGGTACTGAACTTCCATGAAGAGCCACAAAGCCATCCAGCTGATGAAGAACTGGGCGGTGGTGACACCCCAAGACTCGCGGAACGCCCAGATATAGCCGATCGTCCCTAGTGCTGATACAAGGGTATACGCCTTGCCGACAACCAGGCGGGTTAGGAACACATCACGTTTGGACATGTTTGCGAATATGCCAGCGCCGAACATGATGCCGTTGAGCCCCATTAGGAAGAAGAACTGCATCAGAGCTGGGAACACCATCGACACAGTGTTGAGTAGTGCACGGGCTCCTTGGATAGTCGGCATTATAGGATCCGATGAGGGTTGGATCGGGTTTAGGAAGACGCTGGACGAGACGGGATCGCTCATGTTGACGGCGGCCGCATCATCACGGGCAACGCGGTAGTAGGTTCGAGAAGCGACGTTGACAAGGCGCGCCAGATTAGAGTCGATTACTGAAGAAGCAATTGTTGGGAAGAACACGCCGTTGTAGGTGTACGAAATCGTTTCAGCCGGGTTATATACGGTTGTGTTCTCGACCCGGACGGCCTGGTTCAACCGATCGGAGGCTCCCGAGTGTGTGTAGATTGCACCCCAATATCCTCCCTTGCACACCGCGTTATGGAGATCATCCGGGGATGGGTAGTCCTCTGGCGATCGGAACTCGAGGGTCGGGAAGGTGTCGGCCTCCAGGGACGTGTATGCCAGCGACATGGCTTTGCCGATGTTCCCTCCATCGTAATCAACGGCAAGGATTTTTAGGGCGTGTGATCGAGAGTTTGAGCGAAAGAGGGCGCCGAAAAGATAGGAGAGGTTCCCGAGAAAGAGCAACTGCAGAAGCAGGGCAGACATGGCAATGGGGATTGCCACTTTGGGCCATGATTTCGCCCATGTATCGGAAAGGAGTGGCTGTCGGCCGGGAGATCGTGGAGGAAGAAGACCCATCGTGGGCGGTTATTTTGGTATCGAGGTGAACTGACTGGCCTTCCAGAACGTCCCTACGAGATAGGGGAGCCGCCTTAATACATATTTTATCAATCGCCAGTTTTTTCTTCTTTCCCGTTCGATTACCAAGTGGTCCCTCGTCAAGGCTGACGAAAGCGCCCCAGTACAGACCAGGTCCAAACCAATCGCACACCAGAATCAAACATACAGCACCCTTGTAATCAATGCTTAGACTCGCCGTCGCTGACCAAGCTCGGCCTCGGATCTATCTGGGCATGCTTATCTGGATGGCATCGCGTGTCCGCGCACTTAACTCTAATGCCGACCACCGAAGCTATGCCCTGCTAAAAGCTCCCCTTGGCTTAGCGCAGTGCGCTTGGTCCAATTCCAGAAGCCCGTAAAGAAGCTAGAACCATAATTTCAGTTTTTTTTAGATGCCGGCGGGCATTTCTATTGTCCTGCCCTACGCTCGGTTCTCCGAGCCTCGACCACGTACCCACGGGTGAGTCAGTAGTTGCCTTGATGATTCGGGACCCGCCGTGCCTAAGTACGGATTGAGGATGAAGGGTCGCTCTTTTCTATTTCAAAGCACTATCTCATAAGCTCACATCGAAAGGATTAGCATCACTCGCTTGACTTCTGAAGGCCGAAGGCCGGATGAGATCAAATTCTCGGCCATTGCGTGCAACGTCTCAAGCCAGCCAACCAAGCTACCCCCAACGTCACTATGATAATTTAATAGGATAAGTCCATTGCTCATCATTGCACAAGTTGGGTCAGGGCTGCCGCGATCGCTTTCCGAACAGCGAACAGAGAGGTCAGGCGCCCACCCACGAAATGACACCAAACAGGTAAGGAGATGTCTACCCTACGGCACATACATATCTAGAGTGACAGTAGCACCCGAGAGATCCAACTGGAAATCCACAAGAAAAAGGATATTAACATTCAATCCAACTGACCAACGTGTATTGCAGCTCATTGCTTAGAATTAACAAGTCCATATCTCGAAAAACAAATTAATTTTAAACGATTTTCTTTTTTGTGGAAGCCCATGTCAAGCCAGCAGACAAAGGCTGATCATCCAAAGGTAGCTATTTATCTATCAAACAGGTCTCAAGGACCTCTGGCTTAAATTAAGTAGTAAGTTGAGGAATAAGAGAAATTTTTTTTTTTTTAAAAAAAGGAGTTCAACCCAAATTTGACAGCCATGGGATTCACCGAAAAGGGGTGCCGCATGGCGCAGTAACTTCTGTAGGTAACTACTCTAGGATTTTCTTGACTGCCAGGCCTTAAGCTGCTCAGACAGACATGTTGAAATATCCTGTTACTTCGGTTTTGCATAGCATAGCAACAAGGCAACTGTCCAAAACTAAATCTCCTGGCACGCCTTCTTTGCCTCAAGCTCTTCTCCAAGATAGGGGATTGGACGACTCCATGCCTTAACTCGTGGATATCTCAGGATCGATAAACCACGTATGATTGTAGAATCTCGGAAACATTTCGGCGACATTTTAAGTATCAAGTTCGAGTTTTCAAGTTCGAAGTGAGCATCCCTGTTGTCATCAAACCGCATTAGAGTTAACCCCGCGTCTCAGCGCTGACCCTGCACATCTGCTTGGAGCTACTTAAAGGAGCTTACTCCCATAGAATGACGTCCCTTAATTCCGCTACTTACGTATCATATTTCAATTGAATGACAATGGCATCCTCACTTCGCAGAGTTGCTATTGTTGGAGTATGTCGCTACAGCCCTGCATTGAGTATCGCATTGCATCTAATCATCTTTACAGGCATCGGGCCATCTTGGCCCGTTTATTCTAAAGGCTCTCGAAGGTAATCAGAACTTGGACATCACCGTCATCACTCGAACGAGTTCCTCGGCCGTGTTCCCCGCTGACACTCGCGTCGTACGCGTCGCTGATGGATATCAGGATGACGAGATGGTGGAGGCATTCCGGGGTCACGACGCCGTGGTGCTGTCTCTTGGATTCGCTGCTGAGCATCGTCATGCTGCACTTGCACGTGCGTCTATCAAAGCTGGGGTCAAGCGGCTTGTGGCGTCTGGATACGGCGTCGACCCCACGAACGAGGAGGCTTCAAAAGTTTTCCCTGTTGCTGCAACCAAGGCTGCCATGATTAAAGATCTCAAATCTCTGGAGACATCGGGGTGGTCCTGGACGGTTATTTCCTGTGGACTTTTCCTCGACTTGTATGCCTTCCATATGCCGCAAGCCTAGAACTACTGCTGACTACTGTCTAGCTGTATCCAAGTCGGCTTCTTCGGTATCGACCCGGTCAAGAAGACCGCCTCGATTTGGGACGATGGCAACGCAAGATTTACTGCCACTACCCGGGAGGGTATAGGAAAATCCGTCGTCGGCGTATTGCAGCACCCAGGCGAGACAGCCAACCGCTCAGTATACATCTCATCTACAGAATTATCGATGAACGAGCTACTAGCCGCCGAGAAAAAGGTTTCTGGAGAAGATGGATGGGAGGTCTCTCGCGTGAATACGGAAGAAGAGATTGCCAAGGCGCGGGAAACTCTTGCGACAGAAACGGAATTCATGCCAAAGATGATGGCTGCGGGAAGGTTAGGCCTGGCCGTGAACATGAAGGAGTCCTTCGGGGCCAATTTCAGGGCTCTGGGATTACTTGAGAATGACTTGTTGGGGGTGTCGCAGGAAAATCTAGAAGATGTTGTTCGAAGAGCGCGAGAGTGATGGGAATAATAAGTTGGATCTGGCTTGGTGATTGCGACCGGGAAAAAAAATCATGAATTCATGCGTAGGACAGGAACTCTTTCATTCAGCCTACAAGCCTTGTGACAGACATAAGGTGCAGAGTCGCCAAGAAATTATTAAGTGCATACGCAGGATGAATGGTTGGAAATAAAGCTATACCACCACAATGAGCTTCCGCACATCTTGGCACATTTCTAGCAGATCTGTTTACTTTCGCAAGTACGGTCTTCGAGATTCTGGCTTAGCCTTTAGGTCTTCTTATCGTGCCGATGAAGGTCTCAACTAGGAAGCATTGCTCCGTCCACACTTAAAGCAACTTTTCTTGCCTTGAGGCTGAGTCTGACGAGATAAAGCTGCTGTGCGGGTGGAGCCTCCTGCCCACCGACTCGATTCACTTGGATCGAGAAAAGGCGGGGGCAAAGGGCAGAGAAATCATACAAGGGTCTGAGTAATAATGGAAGAGTCGGACACCACCATCTTGGCCAGAGCAGCAACCACAATAACAATATCAAGCAGCCTAGGCACCGCCCATCACCATATGAAGGATTCAGGGCTGGTCGAGTCAGTCACACAAGCAAAGCCCTTCGCTGACAACTCACGCGCCCTGCTACCAAAAAGCCCAAGTCAGCTTAATGCGCCTGACCCGTCGGTTTTCTATCTATGCTAATCCATCATAGTAGTGGGTAATTGATATAGAAACCCTAAGAAAAATGCCCAAAATTCTCTGACTTATATGATGGCTGTGGTCGCCGTGAAAAAGGAGACAAAATTGAGCTTTCACCATCACATATATCCGTCCAGTGTCTTGTGTACAATGTGCAATTATGACGCTCATGGTATCTGAGTCAGCTGCCGCGGCGATCTACGGCAAAGAAGGAATTAGGAATAAAGGTGAGACGTTGTTGCATATTCGTCCCTCTCCATATGCCAATCAACTTAATCCGCTACCTAATAAGAATAAGAATCTTCCTGTGGCGTCTTACCTCCCCACGACCGGGCGATAGTTTTGCTTTAGCCCCAGCATACTATCGGCAAGCCACATGTTCCAGGTTGCCCGCGGCTGGAGAAGAATACGGGGACACGAGCTTCCCCAAACAGTGGGCTGAGAAGGGGGGCTTGGCGATGTTGGTCGCCCTATTGCATCGTCGCTTTTGACGGCTGCCTAGAGCACGACCACCCATTAAGCCCGCAGCTTGGACGGAAGTGGCATGGACTGTGCTTTCATCCAGGACTGAATACACTGAGGGGTCGGTCTTTCGCTTTCCAGATTCATTAGCTTGACCCATCAGTATGGATGGACTCTGGGGAATCCCACATCGATACCCCAGAGCCAAGCCGCTGGCTGGATCCCGCTCGCTAGAACACTTGTCGACACCATCATAGTGACTTCTCTGTCGTCATCTCACTGCAGCAAAGTGCTGGTGATGTAACGATTTGCACCAATCGCTGCCAACTCACTGTGCCGCTTGACAGGGGTTCATCCACACCACCGTCGATCCTTTGCCGTGAGGCTTCCTGGATCCCTGAATCAATTTGTGGGCAGTTTCGCTTAGACGGCGCACTTTTCTGTCCAAGGCTCCAAGCTGTGGGTATATTGTCAAAGGCTGGCCCGCCTTTTGGTTCCTGAGACAATTATCGATCCTCTTGATCCATTTACTCTTGGCTTCATGCCAGACATTATGAGATCCAAAGTCACTGTCCGCCCCAAGAGACAGGCAGACCAAGAGAGGACCCCCGCTTTCACTTGAAGCCTGCATGCATGTAGGCTGCCATAAACCGCCCCTCACATGCCACCTTTTCCTCCATCATCGTCACCTTTGACGGTGCGATCAAGTACCAATCAGATTGAGAATATCCCTTTCGACACTACGAAGATTGTCGAGGCGTGGGCCCAGGGTTTCAATGTTGGGGCTCTTGTGCTCTTGATCCTCTTCACCCTTTGCAACTACCGTCGGCATGTACTCCTTCACAAATTGATTTTGATCCAGGTTGGTACCCGCTTCTTTTCTATCAAAGCATCATGAACATGGGGTGTTGTGAACATCGGGGAATATAATTACTAACAAGATACTGTTCCAAGCTTGTCCTCTCTATTTGGCATGGCGCTTTCGTCTTTTTCAATAATCCCGTCTATGGATGGTACGTTAATTTATTTCGTTGTCTCTACCTAATACATTGCATGACCTAGAGTTGTGGCTGTAGTTATGCCCATCAGCTCAGCCCTCCGCTAACTATCTTGCTCTCACGTAGGCTGCTAAGCAGCACAGCCATCTTGCTGTACATTGCGTACAACATCCACAATGTCATCTCTTGGATGAAGATCAAACCTTTTCTGCCACCTCTTGGAGGCAAAATATTCCTGATATCACTTTTGCTTGTCCAGCCTTATTGGATTCTGGAGACATTCGCCAATTTCCAGTACTTCAACCTGGAAGGCTCCATCTTCGAGCAGTCAAGATTTTACGAGCCTCTTGCGAGGTAAGAAACTCAGCAATACCCCCAGACCATATCTGACCATTCTCTGGACTCATTGCTAATACCTCTCGTAACAGAGATCCCTGGTGGATTTTCACTACCGTCAAGCTGGTATGGGTCATTAAGCGAAACTACGAATACACCTTGATCGGTTTGGTTCGAAACAGTCCGCGTTTTGGCATCATGTTATTATGCATGTTTATCTCCATTGTTTTTCTCATCACCGACGTCGCCGTAACCGCAACGGTCTCCACGGACCGTGGTATTAATCCTTACTGGAGGGTAAGCATCTTACAGAGCCTTAGTATCTAAATCTTCTGATGTCGTCTGACCATTTTCACAATAGTTTTCTCTCGTATTCAAGTGCGCCTCTGATACGATATTCCTAGACGACTTCAAGAGTGTCTTGGACCGGATTGCAAGTTCCACGATAAAGCGTCTAGCACATATTCCCAATAGCTCTGTCAATGGGCCTCGGGGGTCAGTGACTCGTCAACATGGTAGTTTCTCGCATCATGAGTTCCGATCGGGTCACAGCGTCAGTGTTTCCGCCAATCCCCAAGGTTCAAGCGGATGCTCCAAGTACGCCAGAGCCCCATGGGTTGGTCAGCGACTCGCGCCACAGCACGAGCGTCATAGCGATGAGATGGGTCTGCAGCCCATTGGTGATTCAAAGCAGAACCAAATTAGAGCCGAAACCACCATTGAGGTGTCAGAGCAAGGAGGGAACGAACCAAAACCTTCAACGTCGACTGGGGCAGGTTCTAGGAAAGAATTCGGTTTAGGCTCAGAGGATGATGTCTTGCTTGGACGAGAGTCAGGGCTTGCCGAGCGAGATTTTGGCTGGGTCCAGATGTCAAAGCGATCCGGAGCAGAGGGACAGACAAACCAGGGTGATTTGGGATATGATTTCCCAAGAGAGCCTTCGCCAACGCAGGCCAGAGATAGAACATAACACAAAATAATGAATCTTTCTCTTGTTATTAACCAAGCTCGTCCACGTAATTATAGACTACGAAGAACGTATCGGCAACGCCCATGTCGTAACCGAGAGGAACGGAAATGGCCAGCTAACCCCAGTTCTTGCGGACCTACAACAAGTTGATGTAGTGTCGGCGCATTGTGGCACGCCATTGCAGGTACGTCCCCATCCTGCTTCAACAACTCACCTGTGCTGTGCACTCGGAGACTCGGGAAACAACACGATTCGTGGCTGGGTCGTGGACAGTCTCAACCCACTTGGTAATCCTGGCATGCCTAGTTGGCTAGGGAAGTTGGAAGCGACGAGTTCGGTTGGTTGACGTCTGAGAGGCAAGGAGTAGGCAGCCGTTGGCAGAATCTCGGCACCGAGCGAGGTGGGCAGGTATGGAAGCCCCGAGAATCGCAGGTATATTTGCAGCAAGGGTGTGTAGATCTGACCTAGCAAAAAGAAAGGAGAACACTTGTTGTCTCTTTATGCAAGTGCGAGAGGAAACAACTTGATGATCCGATTTTGCTGATATGGCAATGTTCAATGCAAAAAGGAAAGTGACCAAGCCCCTGGCGGCACCCGGTCTGGCAGCATATCGTAGGCCATTTGCGTTATATTATCAATGGATCTGAGGATGGTGTTTTTTTGGGAAGGCAAGTAATCTTGAGAAAACTTGTCGGCTTCTATCCCGTAGTACAAACGGAGTGAAACGTGTCTCAACTGGGGAGCTGCAGGTCCTGAATGGTCTCAGCGTTAAGAATAAGACACTCCGACAGAAGGTGGGTTTAGCTAAGGATATGGGAAAGGTAGGTCTCACATGACCGGTTCTAAGGATGGAAATCCCGCGGCGGCCACTTGTAATTCTTAGTGCCGGGCTTTGTTGACGATGGGAAGGTTTCCGCGATAGGCTCCCTTCCAACGACTCAGCGACAAATTCTCTGCCCCCACCACTGCCTCTAACTCCCCCACAGTAGAGATCTAGATCTGTGGGGAAGTTCTCTCACGGTTTGCCTTATCTGCGGGCTGGGTAGCTGAAATGTATGGCAGGAGAGCTCGCGGTCAATTACCCAGTTGTAAAGAGGCGATATGAGATGACAAGCCCAGGGCCATGTCTGTCCACCTGGCATCGGTCTAGTGTCCCAACCATGTGATATTGGCCCATAGTTGATGTTAAATGCCCCCATGGCAAGTTGTATCTAAGATTGAGCGGTGTCGGCTGCGATGTGGCTTGCTAACCTGTGGGGTTGGACGTGGAATTCAAAGATATAGCTTCATCTCTGCCCTCTCCGATAATTTTGACAGTGAGCTTTTACTTCAATCATCCCCAAGCGTTTTATTTAGACGATATTCTCGTTGTAGCATTGCGCCCAGCTTCTGCATTTCCATTGCATTATTTTGTGTCTAATATTTTAGGATTCTATTCATTATCCCATCAAACCATGGCCAACCGCGGTGTCACCTGGGACCCTCTGGTCCATACCATCCAAGATCTGAAGGAGATGGGCAGCAAGAAGCTTCCCAAGATGTATCGGGATTACTTCAACGAGGGAGCGATGGACCTCGTTAGGTGCGCAATTGACGGAAATGGGACTTCAAGCGACGCCGACTAACAATTTTTCTTTTTCTGGCAGTTTGAAGGACAATGAGGAGGCATACAATCGCTACAAGATCATTCCTAGAATCTTGGTCAATGTTGATAACATCGACATGAGCTCAGAGATTCTAGGCGTCAAGGTACGGCACATGTTCCATCTAGCCGCACGTTGATCTGTATTCTGATAGAATATCCCAGACCTCATTTCCTCTCGGATTTAGTCCTGCTGCTATGCACAATTTGGCTCATCCCGATGGCGAAATTGCAACATCCCGTGCTGCCGCAAAGATGGGAATCGCCATGGGTCTTTCTTCATACGCCACATCGTCCATGGAAGATGTTGCGGCAGAAGGCCTGGGAAACCCATATGCTATGCAGCTTTGCGTTCTACGTGATCGAGAAACCACCCTGCAGATCCTAAAAAGAGCAGAGGGTAAGTATTGTTTTCGTCTAGCAGACAAGGCACCGCCCACTAATGATTTATCGCTTAGCATCTGGATACAAGGCCATCTTCCTGTCTGTTGACACACCTCTTCTGGGTCGCCGCCTAAACGAGTACAGAAACAATTTTGTGCTCCCAGAAGATATGGCTTGGCCAAACCTCCTCTCCAATGGCAAGGACGAGCTCAGCGGGCGATATGGGCAAGCTGAGGACACTGGCGTATCACGCTACGACTTCGGTGAGCGAAGAATTGGTTTTCTCCCTGGAAGATTGTTGGGCTACTAACAATGATAGATCCTTCCCTGGATTGGGATACTGCTATTCCCTGGCTGCGCAAGCACACCAAGCTCCAGCTATGGCTGAAAGGAGGTATGTGAAATTGTCTCCCCGATACTCGAAAGGTCTGGCCTCTCCAAATACTAACACGATATTTCTTAGTATACACACCTGAGGATGTTAACACGGCTATCCACTGGGGCCTAGATGGTGTCATCATCTCCAACCACGGCGGTCGCCAGCTGGATGGCGTCCCTGCCACCCTCGACTCTCTCCGTATCTGCGCTCCCGCCGCCGCCGGGAAAATTCCCATCGCCGTTGACGGTGGCATCCGCCGCGGCACCGACATCTTCAAGGCCATTGCCCTGGGCGCTTCTCACTGCTTCGTCGGTCGTATCCCCATCTGGGGATTAGCTGTAAATCTACGCCTGACCTTCTTATATCTTGGACTTATTGCTAATCAGCTTCTCGACAGTACAACGGCCAAGAAGGCGTTGAGCTTGCCATCAAGATTCTCATGTTCGAGTTTAAGCTTGCCATGGCCCTTGCTGGGTAAGTTCCATAGAGACTTTCATCATATGAGTTCATCACCCAACAATACTAACACACGGAGCAGATGCCGAACGGTCAAGGACATCAACTCTAGCCACGTCGCTTTCCTCAACAACAGCGGCATTCTGTCAAAATTGTAAATCGAAACATACCTTATGCATCCATAGATTTCAAATTGTAAAGCGAAATTCATCTTAATTAAGCCTGTGTCAACTATGTGCAATGGATGAGACACATGTTATCTACATTCTGAATCTTATCATGCTTCTTGTAATCCTCGTACAAAATTCCACACTTCAGTTTTCTTGGGTACCTTCACCTCCTTCTTTACGAACTTGAGGAATACAATAGGTGCACACCTTCTAAATTTGACGTCGCAAAAGAGTGAGACTGCGTCCGTAATGGAATCACTCAACTCAGTTGACATGATACTCATTTAACCCCTACGTGCCCATTGCCGTATGAGATCCATCGGGAACGAGACCCGACATTTTCAGATACGATGGCTTAGTGCCACGGATTGCCTTTCCTTTTAATGAGAAATGACTAGACAAAAATAGCTCACTAGTAGCGAGCCATTCTCTGAATGATAGGCCAACCAGCCATAGGTAATATACACAGTTACGGAACATGCAAGATACGATATCAGCTGAGATCACTACCACTTTGACTCCTGCCAAGGGCCATAAGAGCATGGAATATGCATACCTGATCCTTGATGGGTGGGAGAGGCAATCTAAGATTGATCTCGGTACTCACTCCTCGATCAACCACTTGCAGCCGGCGTTCACTCCGCCCGAGCAGCTCAAATCTCCACATCCGAAACGGCATGTCTCCGCGAGCCACTTGCCTGTTCCAATATCCTCCATCAACAGCCTGCGCGGATCGTCGCTATCGCCATCCCAAGGCAGATGCCATGCAGATTCACTATCCCATAGTCTTTGCTCCCGTGGCCGAGCGAACTCCGTTTGGCCCCAATCACTACGAAACGCATTTGCGTCCCCTCTTTCACCCCGCATCACCTTCTTGTGATGTATGCTGCGTTATCGGTGATGTTGCCATCAAAATCTAAATAAAGAGCAATCAAGTGCCTGTATTTTTCAAGTCTCTCTTGTTCTCTATTCTATTCCAATTCATTACTTTTGCATTTTCCAGCTTAGTTACTTTCATACACAAACCATCCACAATGGCTCCTCAAGATCTCACGGGCATTATGGTGGCCCTCTACACCCCTTTCAAGGATGACACGAGGGCCATTGATGTCGAGGCCCTCACTGCCCACGTCGAGTCCCTCATCAAGGCCGGTGTCCACGGTCTCGTTCCCGGCGGCAGCACCGGAGAGTTCACAGCCCTCTCGTACGACGAGCGCAAGCAGCTTATCGAGGTTGTGCTCACCGCCGCCAAGGGCCGCGTCCCTGTCGTTGCCGGCATTGGCGACCTCTCCACAGCCAAGGTCCTCGATCTGGCCAAGCACGCCGCCGAGGCTGGCGCTGCCGCCACCATGATCGTCCCTCCATTCTACGACAGCCCCAACCTGGAGGAGCTCCGCGAGTTCTTCAAGGAGGTCTACGAGGTGTCTAAGATCCCCATCATGTACTACAACATCCCCGGCGCCTCCGGTGTCAAGCTCTCCCCCACCGAGCTCGCCGGCCTCTCCGACGTCGGCGTCAAGTTCCTCAAAGATACCTCCGGCGACGCCCCTTCTCTCACCCAGCTCCTCTTCGAGGACGCCGTCTCCAGCAAGATCGTCGCCTTCAACGGCTGGGACACCCTGACCTTCTACGGCCTCGCCGCCGGCGCCAAGGGCTCCGTGTGGGGAACCACCAACATCCTCCCCGAGCTGTCCGTCGAGCTGTGGAACGCGGTGGCCGTCAATGGCGACCTCAAGAAGGGCCGCGAGATCTGGGCCAAGATCTACCCCCTCTGCAAGGTCCTCGAGTCCTACAACTACTGCGCTGGTGTCAAGACCGCCATGGAGCTCAAGGGCATCAAGACTGGTGGCATTAGAAAGCCCTTTAAGCTGCTCACGGGCGACGCCAAGGCTGAGCTTGCTGCCGCGCTTAAGATTGCTGGCGTCAAGGTAGTCGAGTAAAGGAATCAAATAAAGTAAAAACAAAATAATATAAATTTAGCAATGAGTAGATAGATAATTGGATATGATTGAGATTAGATTCTTCACTTGCTATATTACATGTGTGGTTAGACAAGATAATACGCGCTGCTGAATGCAATAAGCTAATGTCAGCATCGCTGGAAAGGGTAAGACTTCAGTTCGTTCAGGCGGACTCGAGGACATATCACATTACTTTTATTGGCCAGGGCGGGCGTATATCTGCACAGATGTGCAGCAAATCAGCCCTCTGACGTGGCTGTATTTCAAAGATGCAGAAAATCAAAGCCTGAAAACATCGGTGAGCAACTGAGCTTCAAACTTTCTTTCCGACGTCTCTCACCCCCAACCCACCTCGAGCACTCTCCGAATTCACGTCGAGCGGGATAGAAAATGAGCTTGTTTGAGGTCACCGGCCTCATCGGCGCTATCCCAGGCGTCATAACGCTTGTTACTGAATCCATCACGCTCATTCACAGATGTGGTAGTGGCAAGAAACTCTCCAGTGTGGTCAAGGGAGCTCATCTGCAGCTGGTGGCCATCAAAGATCTATTGATCGCTCTTGACGCCCGGTGCAGGGATCCAAAGAAGATTCACTGGCTTCTTGGTGATGTCCGAAACATTCAACAAGCTGTCAAGGAACTAGGCGAGGAGCTTGAAGATCTAGCGAAGCTTCTCAATTCAGTCGCCTTGGCATGCACCAAGGGAGAGGGTAGATTTGTTAGACGAGCTCAATTGCTCCTTTCGGGCTACGAAGGTCAATTCAAGGAGCAGTTCCAGCGAATTGAGGCTATCAAATCGCTTCTTACTCTCATCCTCACCAATGGAATCAATCTTACCATTGATCAAGGTGAATTCCACAAGATAGCTTTACATTATTCCCTTGCTAATATTTCAACTTAAAAAGCGATTGAAGATCCTTCAGATAGAAGGAGAAATAATCTACTCAAGATAAAGACAATACTACAGCCGTGCAATCATGAGTTTATCCCATCCAAGCTTCCTGGCACACTCGATTGGGTCCCAGTACACCCCGATATTGCCAGTTGGATGGATCCTAAGTCAGAAGCTCTTTCTAGCAGAGCTATTTGCATCTATGGCGTCAAAGGATGTGGAAAATCAGTTCTAGCGGCCACTCTTGTTGCTCACTTAGACATTCGAAAAGCACCCGTGGGGTTCTTCTCTTTTTGGGCCCAAAGTGAAAGACAAAGAAAGATTGATCAAATGCTTGCCACTCTTTTGTGGGATTTGATTTCAAAACTACCCTACGACAGTTTTGATAAAATTGCTCCAGTCGCTTTGGGTCTGCTTAACCCAACATCCATTGAGCTATTCAGTCTCCTTTCCGAAACTATCAGTGTGCTGAATCAGCCATGTTTCCTGGTAGTTGATGCTCTTGATGAGAGTACTGAAGACTGGAGTATGGACTCAGTAGGCTTGAGAGTGATTTCAGACTTGCTGAGCCGTCAATCTTTAAGGGTACTTTTACTAGGTCGTGAGACAGCTGTCAGAACAGCTCTCAAAACCTTTTCTGGAATCGAAATCACAAAAAACCTCGTTCACGACGATATCCAGAAGCTTATATCAGATCAGGTTTTGCGGCTGCCAAACATCAAACCTAATATTCGAGATCACATACAATCAGTTCTCACAAACAACTCTACAGTAATGTTCCTTTGGGTGGTGATGGTCTTTAAAGAGCTGCAGAGGTGTTTTAGCGCAAAAGAGATCAAACGTGCACTCGAAAATACCCCTCGTGACTTAGAATCAGAATACGACCGACTCTTTTGTCAGCTGCTGAAACGACAAGAGGGCGGTTTAGATGGCTCTATCGGCGCATTTCGCATTCGAAGATTGTTCCAGTTAATCCTAGGGGCTATTGAACCACTTTCACTCGATCAGCTTCGTCATGCCTACGCTGCATCCTGCTCTTCTGAATCTGATTGGGAAGAGCACATGCTAAGCGAAGAAGGTATCATTGATACAGTTGGAGACTTCGTTTTTACTTCCAATGGGCGTGTTTACTTAGGCCATGCCTCAATCGGAGAGTATCTCACTCGAGAACTGCACTTTTGGTCTGAAAACTCCAATATATCTCTTTTACGGAGTACCCCAGACGAGATGCACTCTTTATTGACAACAACTTGCATCAATTATCTCCAGGTAGTCGAGCAGAATTCTTTCCTGCAGCTGTCCACAGAAAGAGATATTGAGACTTTTACTCGCTATCCATTCTTTTCATATTCTCTTTGCAGAGTAGCCTTTCACTTTTTCGAGTCCAAAGGCTATATGCCGGTAGAGGAAATGGGTAACTTCGTTCGATCTACAACATTTGGCTTCTACTTAGATTACTGGTATCACATGGAGCCTGAGCGTCTAGGAAAGAGGGGTTCATCCGATGGAGCTTTTTCAGAGATAACTCGACTTGCATCGTGGTATGACAGTGCTCAAACCTCCCAAGGCGGGGTCATTCGGGTTTTGCAAACTGAACATGGCCGTCGCAAAACCACCTTCGGTTTAACGAACCATAGAACGACCCTTGTAGAGGGTTTCTTAGAATTGTGGGAACTGCTGGTAGGACTCGACGATTTGGATTCTGAAGCGTCCCTCAAGCATCATGAAATCGATGAGCCATCGGTTATTGGCCACAAGCCGTCTCCTGATCATTCGCTTTTTAAAACTGCACTAAATTTCTCCGCCTGGCTTCCGCCTCTCGTTTTTATAGCGGCGTCCCGAGCTTACGACGACCATAACGAATTAAGCCGATTTTACGACACTGCTTCAGGACGATGCAAGAAAACAATCGATGGGGATAGGGCTTTCAGTAAAATCATCACAGCATTTATTGGACGCTTTAAAGATCAGGGAGAAAAATCTATTCAGCACTTTCAGGAGGATCACTTCCACTTTTATTTAAGTATATCCGCTGTGATTACAAACTGTAGATATCACTCTATGAATAGGCAGTTTATCGATGAGTTAGATCTATCCTACTGATCGCTTACTACTTTACAACTTCTAGTAATAACTTAGTTAGGTAGCTAGCTGTTCCAGCTAATCATTGTAATAGTTTGCTTTAATGGATGGTTTGCTTTATTTTGCGATATACAGCTGTATTCCTGTCAACCCACAAAGACTCTAACCGAGTCCAATGATTATTGTTAGCTAACAACCAAGAATCGAGTCACGAAACTCTAAATTTATTGGACGAGCGAACTACCACTCTAGTCACTTTACGCCCAAATTTTTCCAGGGCCAGCCATAGAAACTTGAATATCCCTGCTGGACCCATGGAGCGGTACCAGGCTTGGCAGTGGTTCGAAGTTATCGATACACTCCGTCCTATATCAGGCTGATGGATGAAGAAAAGGAGAGTCTTGGATTTCTTAGTTAGCAATGGGTTGTTTCTGTGCATTATATCATTGTAAATTGATAGTTGGGGAAGAACTTGGATCTAATAAATCCATAATTATAACATGCCGCATAGAATAGTGAATCGGCTGTAATGCGCGGAGGTCGTACCCTTGGTTGTTCAGGCCATATACGACGTTGAGTACGTTGGGGTCCCAATAGTTCTTCTACGCCGTGACTGCGGTAACATATTCTCTGGCTATACAGTCAAGGTGAACACGAAATATCAAAGCTCGTTAATGGTTTGTAATTGGATATATGCATCGCTATTACCCTGCCTGTACCATCAATCCCGGCCAACTAAATGTCAAATCCCCAGACTCCTCTCGCCGTTCCCAAACCATCTTCGCCACCACGCTCGGCTTGTCCGCCTCAATAAAGATTCCGCGATCATCCATCATCTCCAGACACTCAAACGCCTGCTTCTGTAACTCAGGCGTAGCAGCCTCACAAGCCGCGATAAACGTTGACCACCCGATACTAATGGCGTAGTCTTGATCGTGTGTAAACAAGCCGATATATGGCTGGATGAAGTCGAGGGTCTTCTTGACGAGATCCTGCACAATCATGACGCTCATGTTATAGACCCTGCGGTAAAAATAGATAATAATAGCCTTGTGCATGGCTAGGATGAGCGCTTCTACCATCGGTTTATCCAGAGGCGGTGTGTCGTCGGTGACAAGAGCCTGAGGTCGTGCAGGGCCCGCAGGAACTTGACAAGACTGGGGTGACCAGGACCAGACCTGGTGTTCCAGTGTCTTGATATGGTTGGATAAGGAAAGGGCTATGGAGGGGTTCGTAATCGCCGCAAGTTCCAGCTTGGGCTTTTCGTTTGCAAGGCTGATTGTCTGTGATAGAAGCGTCATGAGGGACTCCGGGATACCATACATGTCTGGGTACAAGGTGGCGGGCCAGATTCCCGAGGCCTCGAGATGAATGTCGTGATATCCGAGATCTTCAGGCTTTGCACGCATTAAATCCAGGTCTCCAAGGTCGCTTGGGCTAATACGGAACCTTCTTAGCGCAGCGGCAGAGGCGCCAGATATGTTGACCTGGCTGAGATCGGAAGAGTCCATGTTGTCGTTGCCTATTTGCAAGGGAAAGATATTCGTACTTTCCATAATGACCCTGAGGTGAGTGTACATGTGATGCAGCACCCGAAGACCAAAGGTTTTGGTTGAGGGGAAGCCGCGGAGGCGTATGAGGCGCTCTGCGTCAAGTAGAAGCTTCTTGACTGCTCTAGCTCCGTCAAAATACACCTGTGGGTTGGATTATTAGCAACTAAATACACAGGCTGTGTTGGCGGGAATTTGAGACTTACCGAGACCACTCCCACTCCAAGGATGGCCATGAGCATCTCCGTATACTTAGCTTGTCCCTCACCTGCGACTTCTGTCCTGAGCGCCGCCTTGAGATGTTCCTGCGCGTCTCTTTGGTGGCCAATAGCAACCTGCAGCCACTGAGAACCAGCTTCCGAGTCCTTGCCAAGAGATCGATGGAGATGGAATGCGCTCTTGGCAAGAAGAGTACACAGAATACTCAAGCGTGTATTTGAGGTTGTGTTCCACAATGACATTTCAGCAAATGTTTCCAGGGCGCACGGTAACAGCATTAGCTTCCAAGGCGACATCCTCGAGTTTGTATTTGATGGATCCTCTAGCACCTTGGTCTTGAGGTAGCGTAAGAGGACAGCAGTATGTGATGGCAGGTTGGGCATTCCATCAGATAAGCTGCTATTTAGCGCTGTTGGTATGGTTTCCAGCAGGCCAGAGGGGAGGGTGGTGGAAGTCGTGACGGGGAGGATTTCAGTCTCGTTTCGAGAGGTTGTTTCCACCTGAGGCGGCTTGCGACCCTCTTGGTGTATTATCGAAGGTGGATGTGATGATAATACCACCTGGCCTAAGAAGGGGTCGCGAGGAGATCTGGGGGGTGTCGCAGCCAGACTCATATTGAAGCCACTGTCGAATGGGAACGACTGGAATTGGTCGACACCAAACTGGATGCCAAGTTGCATCCAATTGTCCAGTTCGTTAAGATCCGCAGCAAATGATGATGATCCGAACTCAGCATTGGCGTCCTGCATAAGAGCAGGGTCTATGACAGATTGGATGGGATCGGCTGCCCAGCGCTCCTCGGTGATCTCCTCAATATCATCATCGAGGGGGTACCCTGGCACATCAGGAACGGAACCCGAGTCTGAGCTACCAAGAGGTGAAGAGGATGTTCGTAGAGGTGGGGAGAAGTTGCTGTCGGAGAGCTGATCTAGTACGAAAGGGTCGTCAAAGACTCTGAAGACGCCGAAGGGTCCTACAGAGTGGAACTTGCCATCGGTAGCCGTCTCATCATCCAGATCGACGACGACATTACCAGCCAGCTGGTTGCCAAGACTGTCGACAAGCTCCAAGCTCATGACCTCGCGGGCAGCCTCGGTGAAGAGTGGGTACCTGAAGGAGCTCCCTCTGTGACTCTGCTTCTGCTCTGCATCGCATCCGTGGTCCGTCACCCACAGAAGACGTGGGGCATAGCCCTGGCATGGCAAGTCAAGCCGCCGACACGAGGAGCAGACTGGACGCGCCTCATCGCACTTCAGATGACGGGTCCTGCAGGTGCCACATCCGGTAAAGGTCCTCGAACGGGTCTCATCCTTGCCTGAACGTGCCTTGTTGCCAGTCGGCCGGCCCTTTGCTGTTGTTCCCTTGCGGCCACTGCTCCCGGTCTGCCGCCTGGTCGCCACCATGGTTGTCTGAGAGTGCGGCGCTGAAGCAAGTGAGATCCGGTCTCTGCCGCCGTCGTCCGGGGTTGGTGGACTCTGCTGGCCGGTCGGTAGCCTTGCTGGTGAACGGTGGGTTTGCGGAGTGAAATCAGACGATGCGCCGCTTCTGCCTTCTAAAACTGCTTCATATTGGTTCAGCAAAGGCAAGCTGTGTGAGGTTTCCTCGCGACAAGAGAAGGGAAGTGCTGGTCAGAGGGATGAAGTAAGTCAAGCCGGTTATCCCAGGCTTCTCCGCGTCTTCCTGGAACGAGGTCCACGGGATGTGTCAATCGGCTATCAATTACTCGCCAAAGCGATATCGCCCCCCTTTCCCCAAACTCTGATAGTATTAGCCCTTTTGGGGCAACGCGTGGGCTTATTATCCGGGCTTTGATTGACTGGTGGCGGGACTTACTAGTGGATCCTGACTCGTTCAAAACGAAATGGAAGGTTTCCGCGAGCCTTGATTTTAGACTGGAGTGGTGCTTTCTTCCTCTAGATTAGTACTAGATATTAAGCTTACTATTCGCTTTCTAATTTATTGCGATAACTGCGAAGCTGGCCAGTCTGTCTGCTGTCAGAACGAGTGATCGCTATGGACTTGCCCTGGTTGTCTCCTGTTAAGACGAGTGATTGATGTAAAACCGATTTAGTTTGTATTCGCAGCGATAGTTCATTCGTAGGGAGCCGGCCTAGCTGTCTGCTATTAAGACAAGCGATCACTGCATGCCCGACCTATCTGTCTGCTGCTAAGACAGGTTATCGCTGCGGGCCTGATGTATCTGTCTCTTAACTGTCTACTATTGAGATGAGCTATTGCTATGAACCTGATCTCTTTGTCTACAGCTACAGCAAGTCTTGGATAAATTTACAATATCGGCTACTGCGCCTCATCCTAGCCATAAAGCGGATTCAAGTGGTGGGTAGTCAAGTTATCCCTGGATATACACAGCATAGGGCCGAATCTCCAATGAATAAGAGAGCTTAAGGGCAGCCATAACTACCGCCGCTGAGAAGGCTTTGGACGCTATGGTAGTAAATGGTTCAACTATGTATGCTTTCCATCTACGCCACTTAGGCTTCCAGTAGTTGGACCGTAAAGCCACTACTAAATAATTCCAGCACCCAGACTGGATCTCTTGTGCTTGGCTCAGTTCTGGTGGGTCTTGCCGCTATGTTCAGCAGTGTGTTAAGCCTCAGCAAGATGATCGAGGCGTTCAACAAGATCTTAAGACTCACGTAAATCAAGACAAACCATCAAGGCCTCGAGTATGTTAAGTACCACTCGGTATAAGGCTGAAGTGGTTGGGTTTTGCCATTGATATCTCACGGCTTGCAGGATTAACGCTGTGACTCTATTCCGCACATCCAATTCGGCCGCAATGCCGCTTGCAACAATTTTCAGCCCTGCGTTCCTATTACCCCCCTGCCTTATTTAAGGCGCGCGATGCTCGAGTGCAGTTGTTTTCGACCTACCAGTCCAGGTAAGGGGTCAGCAATTCTTCTTCACAATACACCCGGCCCATGGATATAGGATCAATATGAATGCTAAGAATATCAACTCAATCAATATATACTATCGATTAAGTATGCTTCAGAATAGTCGACTTTTTAATTTATTTATCATTATAATCTTGGTATAATTTGAGGTTAAGGGGCTGGGTGAAGGATCTTCTTACCTGTATATATTCGCCGCTTAGCGCATGCTATTTTGGGAAGATGTCAGAGAGTGTTACTGATGGGTCCGCTGGATATCGCAAATTCATACCTAAATCAGAATTCTCCTCCTCAGCAATAAATGCCACGGCGAGAAGGCAAATCTAGCACTATATTCGAATCGCGCTCCAGGTAGAACATAATTAGGGGTAGGCCTATGATATTGTATAGATCATTTTGAACGCTTAATATATTATACCATCCACAAACTCATAATACTGAGACTATAGGGAGCGGGAGCATTATATCATCTTGAAACCCCTAATTTTCAATGGAGATATATGCTGTTCTTATATGAATGATGCAATGCTGAGATTCAAAGCGGCTTTGCCGGCGGGGGACTCATTTCCGATATGGAGACTGAGGCGGATCATGGCCCGCAAGCAAATTAAGTCCAGTATGGCAACATCAAAGTATAATAAGCTGGCTTTTTCCTCACCCCATGGGTTGTCTTCTTTGACATAGAGCTGGCCTCCTTCGCTTCGTCTTATACCTCGTCTTACAAGTGTTGCTAGTCCATACTTTTCATTTCTACATCATCTTTATCATTTTTATTCACAATGGTCTGCCTTAACCGACTTTCCATCTCAGCTATCCTCTTGCTCAATCTTGGCGAGCTAGCTGCAGCTGCACCCATAGCTATACGAGAAGCTAGCGTCAGCGAGAGCACTGAAATAACTACAAGAGATCTCAAGAACCCGATTGTCGAGAGCAGGGATGAGAAGCTCAAAACTGTTAACGCTGTCTCGAGTGTTATCAAGCCTATGAACAAAAACCCCAAGCGTGGCCTCGATGATTTGGAGGAGCGCGACTTCGAAATACTGGAAGAGCTTGGACTTGTTCTCCGAGACGCGTATGCCGACGAAATCAACATCGATACCCGAGCACCCTTAGCGATTACGAAGCTTATTAAGAATGTTGTAACTGGTACCGGCAAAGACTTGGACAAGTTTGCAAAGGTCCACAACAACAATGTCAGGAAGAAGCAGACAGCAAACAAGCAGGCGAAGCGTGACTATCAGGACATTCAGCTTGTTCTCCGAGATGCGTATGCCGACGAAATCGACATTGATACCCGAGCACCCTTAGCGATTACGAAGCTTATTAAGAATGTTGTTACTGGTACCGGCAAAGACTTGGACAAGTTTGCAAAGGTCCATAACAACAATGTCAAGAAGAAGCAAGCAGCGAACAAGAGGTCTGTTACTAGACATTGAGATGCTTAATCATTTTGAATAAATCTTATACTGGTGTTACTATTTTACGTTTTCAGACTGTAATATATACCTTATTTATCTACATACCTACTCTAGGGGCGTGATTTCCAGCGCTGCGACAGGTGCTACAGGTGAATTTTTAGTGGTTGAGGGGCAATGACGACAGCGGAGCGACTCCACCAAGACGCCTGAGCTCGTCATAAAATCCTCCAGCATCATCCCCTCCCTCCTCGACTCGTCAACATCCTGCTCAGAACAATATTTCTCGTATTTCTTCTATCCAATTCGGTGTCAAATACTCTTTCAATCATGCCCACGATCTTCCTGTAGGCGCATGATTCTCTATCAATCCTAGAACACGTTGCTAACCGTATCCTGCAGCACCGGTGCCACTGGCTACATTGGTGGTCAAGCCCTCGCGACACTGTTCAAATCCCACCCAGAATATGCCATTCGAGCCTTGGTCCGCGACTCCAGCAAAGCTCAGGCGCTCTCTTCAGCTTACAGCAATGTCCAAGCCGTCGTTGCTGACCTCGACAACACCGACGTAGTAGCGAAGGAGGCCGCGGATGCTGATGTCGTCCTCCGTAAGCGTCCAATCCAAATTGTGCCTTCTCCCTCCCGAATCACCTGCTAAACCTCTGAGTCTCCAGATCTGGCTTCCAACAGCCATATCAAGAGCGTTGAAGCCATCCACGGGGCCCTCAAGGCCAGAACAGCCAGCGGAAAATCTGCTCACTGGGTGCAGGTCTCTGGCGCCAGCGCTTTGGCAGCTGCCGAGATCGCAGACACGAGCCGTATCCCAGGCTCACCCAGCGAGGCGGTTTTCGACGATCTCGATGGTGCGGCCGATATCCGCTCCCTCATTCAGAAGTTCCCCAGTCGCGTCGTAGACAACTTCCTATTCAATGCGGCTACCGAGACCCCCCAGATCAAGACTGCGATTGTCTTCCCGCCCATCATCTACGGCCCTGGAGAGGGGCTGTTGAAGCAGCGCAGCATCCAAATTCCCGAGCTCGCCAAATCTACGTTGAAGCGGGGTCGCGGCCTGCAGGTTGGCAAGGGCCTCAGTAGGTGGACTGACGTGCACATTCACGATCTGGGGGACCTGTTCAAGCTTCTTGTGGAAAAGGCTCTCCAGGGCGACAGCGGCGAGCTATGGAATCTAAATGGCCTCTACTTCCCCGGCGTGGGTGAACGGGTACGTGCTTTGATATTATCTTCCAACTTCGATCACCTGCATTGGCAAAATGACGTGTGCTAACTATACAAAACAGTCCTTTGGCGAGATTTCCAAGCTGGTAGCTGTCACCGCCAAGGAGAAGGGGTTCAATGCAACCGACGAGGTTGACGAGGTGCTCGGAAACGACGCCGACACACTGCTCCCCAAAGGCACCGTCTTCTTCGGCACCAACGCCCGAAGCAAGGCGACGAGGGAAAAGAAGCTTCTTGGGTGGGCGCCGAAGCATGCAGATGGACTCAGGGCAGAGATCCCAAGGGCAATTGAGTCCGAGGCCAAGAGTCTGGGCCTCTCCAACCTGTGAAACACCCAAAATAGTGTTGAGTAGAATCCTGGGACATGAATTGACGTCAGGCTGCGGCCTTGTTGAACAGGCTGCCCGCAATGACAGACCGAGTCTGTCAAGAACGGACTCAATAGGTTCAGCTCCTCATTGTCGCTCTAAACTTCCCCAAGTCGTAGTCGTATCCAACGAGCTCACAACAGGCAGGCCTTGCCGAGCAAAACGGGTCCAGGGTCCATGAATCAGGCCCGCTGCTAATGGACCCGATACGATTAGGAATGACAGAAGCTCGTTATCAATTGCCATTGATTAAAAACTCATGGCTCCAATCGAGGGGTATTCTTTCCTAAATGGCACATTTCAGTGGAGAAATTGCCATGTGACAATGAGGGGCAAGACGAGCTTCACCAGCAGGAGTCGATCAAGATTGAGGATCCAAAAGTCACGATCACCCCGCATAGCAAGCGGTAGAACCGGCTGGCACACGCGAATACTTCTAGCAGTAGCCGGTATCGCTCAGTCGGGATCGGACCGTAGTTCAGCAGTTTTCCTGTCTCCCATCCGAGAGACACTGCATAAGCCCTCTCGTGTTGCGCCTTTTCCTTCCTCTCATCATTCTCTTCTTGTTTTCTTCTTTCCAGCATCAAAATACCATCGCTAGCAGATACTAAAATGGCAGACGATCTCTTTATCCAGCTCACAGCCCCCAACGGTCAGTCTTGGTCTCAGCCCAGGGGTCTGTTTATCAACAATGAATTTGTGCCCTCTACCGGAGGCACTCTATCTACCGTCGATCCTGCGTAAGCTTCCCCTCATTCCACATACTTTCTGGATCTCATTCTCACGATATATCCAGCACCGAGAAGGAAATCACCACAGTCCACGCCGCCAGTGCCGAGGATGTTGACAAGGCCGTCAAGGCCGCACACGATGCATTCCACAACAAGGCCTGGAAAGACCTGGCCGCCACCGACCGCGGCATTCTCATGGCCAAGCTCGCAGATCTAATCGAGTCCAAGAAAGAGCTCTTCGCCACCATCGACGCATGGGACAACGGAAAGTCGTACAACGAGGCCCTCAACACCGACCTCGTCGAGGCCGTCGGCGTGATCCGCTACTACAGCGGTTGGAGCGACAAGGTCTTTGGCCAGACCATCTCCGTCCCCAATAAGTTCGCCTACACGATCCGCCAGCCCATCGGCGTCGTCGGCCAGATCATCCCATGGAACTACCCTCTCTCCATGGCCACATGGAAGCTCGGCCCCGCGCTCGCATGCGGTAACACGGTCGTCCTCAAGTCAGCCGAGCAGACCCCTCTCAGTATCCTGGTTCTCGGCAGCCTAATTGTCGAGGCCGGGTTCCCTCCCGGAGTCGTCAACTTCATCAACGGTCTAGGCAAGGACGCAGGATCAGCGCTGGTGAACCACCCTCTCGTCGACAAGATCGCCTTCACCGGCTCTACCGCTACAGCCACCCACATCATGAGCGCAGCAGCCAAAACCCTCAAGAACATCACCCTCGAGACCGGCGGCAAATCTCCCCTCCTCGTCTTCAACGACACCGACTTCGAGCAGGCCATCAAGTGGTCGCACCTGGGCATCATGTCCAACCAGGGCCAAATCTGCACCGCCACCTCCCGCATCCTCGTCCAGTCGGGCATCTATGACAAGTTCGTCGCCGCCTTCGTCGATGAGGTCAAGAAGACCAGCAAGGTCGGCCACCAGTGGGACGAGGCAACCTACCAGGGACCGCAAGTATCCAAGCAGCAGTATGACCGAGTCCTGTCCTACCTGGACATTGGCCGGTCGGAGGGCAAGGTTGCCGTTGGAGGAAACAAGGCCACCGTTGGCGACGGCAAGGGATACTACATTGAGCCTACTGTCTTTACCGACGTCAAGGATGATGCTAGGATCTGGCGCGAGGAGATTTTCGGTCCTGTAGTCGTGATCCGCCGCTTCGAGGAGGAGGAAGAGGCTATCAAGATCGCCAACGACACCGTCTACGGCCTGGGTGCAGCGGTCTTTACCAAGGATTTGGAGAGAGCGCACCGTGTAGCCTCGGAAATTCAGTCAGGTATGGTCTGGGTCAACAGCAGCCAGGACTGCGATCCCCGTGTACCTTTCGGCGGTGTGAAGAAGAGTGGCATTGGCCGGGAGCTTGGAGAGGCCGGATTGGAGGCATACACCCAAATCAAGGCCGTTCACGTAAACATGGGCAATAAGCTATAAGTCTTTTTTTAGTTGAATCAGCACGAACGAATAGATAAGGTTTAAGAATCATATTCATCTGGTCTCCCTTCTTTGTGTTCACAACGGCGTATGTTGAACGGGCCTCGAAATGTTGCAAGTCAATATGACCCCTACCTTTTCGCTGGACATTCGAAAAGCCTGTCCTCCGCTGAGTAATTACTTTGCCGTACATTGTTTAGATCACCCCTATGCAAGCTTGCGCGACATTGGTGAACCTGGTATGAGCTGCCAAGGCGTAGACTAGCCATCTCAGTTCTTGATGACCAGTTCCCGCGCGGTAATAAATATTATTAGAACCGCTATATTATACAGTATAATATGCTTAGTTAGAATAAAGCTAGTTTACTATAAATATATCTTCTTTTCTAGATTAAAAGAGTATTAGACTTAAAGGAGAAATATATAGTAATTTATATATTTATTTTCTTTAAAAGTACTAGAGATATAGAATTTAATTTAATATAATTTATAATTTTTACTCTTTCTATATATAAAATTAGATAATTAAGAGTTTTAGAGTTATACTTATTTAAAATAATTATAACTATAAATATAAATACTAATCTAGTAAAACTAAATATATTTTAATTTAATTAAATAGTAATAAAATATTTTAAAATTTACTTAAGATATTTAATAAATTAAATAATTTAAATAATTAGAATTTTTTTTTAAATAAATAGTTATAAATATTATTATTAGTAAATAGATTTTATATTTTATATTTCTTAAGAAAATAAATAAATTTTATATTTTATATTTCTTAAGAAAATAAATAAATTTTATATTTTAAAATATAAGAATTTAGTAATTCTAAAGTTTAATTAATATATTATAAAGGTTTAGAATATAAATTAAATTAGAATTATAAACTTTATTTAAAAAGAATAATTTATAAAGTTATTTATTAAACTTCTTAATAAAGATAAAAAAGCTTATAAAATTATATAAAATATTTATTAAATCTCTCTAGTTTAATTTAATAGAGAAACTAATAGAATATATAATATATTTTATTAGATTAATAAATATATAACTTTATATTATATTAAAATATACTTTTTAATAATTATTAATTTAGAAAAAAAAAATATTTATTTTTTCTTTTAGAATTTAAAAAATATATATAATATAAATAAAATTAATAAAAGAAAATAAATAGAGAAAATATATTTTAATATTTTAAACTAGATTAGTAAATTTAAAATTAATTAATAAGAGTAGATTAATAATTAAAAGAAAGTAATAAAAACTATAAAAGTTAAAAAAATTCTAATTATTTTTAATTTATTTAAATAATTTAATAATTTAGAGAAATACTTATAACTAAGATTTAAATTATTATTATAAACTATAAAAATCTAATATTAAATTAAAATAAATAATAAAATCTATAAAATAATAATATTTATTAAGATCTTTAGAGATAAATTAAAAATATTTAAAAAAGATTTAAATAAAAAAACTAAACTCTATATTATAAAAATAATTTTAATTTAATATTTTAAAAAGAAAATCTATTAAATAAAAAGTAAAAGTATTAAATAAAGAATAAAACTAAATATAAAAATAAATAGTAAAAGAAAGCTAGAGATAATAAGTTTAATTATATTTTTTTTTAATAAGAAATATAAGAAAATAAATATAAAAGATTACTAGTTATTATTTTTAGAAAATTTATTTTCTAATTTTAATAAAGAAAAACTATAATTTAATAGATAGATAAAATATTTAAAAAAAATCTCTAAGATTTAGAAACTATATAATAAACTTATTAAAATAAAAGAAAAATAAAACTAATAATTAGTAAATTAAAACTATATATTAAATATTATAATTATCTTTTTTATTAAAAATAATAACTATTTATTAAGATATTTAATATTTTTTAATTTAAAAACTATATTATATTTATTTAATAATATAATAAAATAATATTTTTTTTTTTTAGAGGTTTTTACTATATATAAAGAATATTCTAAGATCAGACTATATATAACTAGCTCTATATAATTTATTTTTAACTAAGTTTTAATCTATATCTAATCTTTAACTCTATTTTTTTTACTTTTTTATTTATATAAGCTAAGATAAGGTAATAGTATCTCTAAAAACTCTAAAAAAAGCTTACTAAATATATAATTTAGCTATAGATTCTAAAGGGGAATATTTATTATCTATAATTAACTATAATATCTCTCTAAGCTTATTATTATTAATTACTAATAATTAAATCTCTCTTTATAATTATAATAATAGATATTTCTAATATTATTATTCTCTATAGCTAGAGCTTAATTATTATATATAATTAGATTCTTAACTATATAATAATAATAATTAATAAAAACTCTTATATCCTTACTAATAATATAAATAATTAAGCTTATACTCTATTATTAGATTCCTTATAATTATAAAACTACTCTTAATTATATAGATCTAGTAGTTATAATTATTAGATCTAATACTATATTATAAAGCTTATAAGAAATAAGTAATAAATACTACTCTATATAAGATATTTAAAGAGAAAAAACTAAATAATAATCTCTAAATACTTAATAATTATAATAATTTAAGATATAATCTCTAGTTTTAATATATTATATATTATATAGAATTAATCTAGATAGAAACTATTTTTAAAATCTAATATTAATATTCTAATATTAGTAAAATAATATTTAGATAGATAGAAAAGAATTAAATAGAATTAAATTATTAAAAAGTTTATTAAATAGAAAAATTAAATTAAATAAAATTAATATAATAATATTTAGAATATAATAGGTTAGTTAATCTAATACTACTATAAATTATTTAAAGAAAATTATAATAGCTTATAAAGTTACTATATACTAATAAAAACTAAATATAGTTTATATAGTAGAAAGATAATATTATTAATATAGAATTATTATAAATAAAGATCTCTATAATAAGTTATATAGTTAATATAATCTATAAGTAAATAGACTATATAAATAAGCAGGCTATTTCTATTAATTTCTTTAATCTTTATCTAATTTATTAAATTCCTCTATAATATAATATAATAGATCTTTTATATAAATTAAGAATACTACTTACTATCTAAGCTCTTAAAAATAATCTAAAATTAAGTTTTTAAACTATAGCTAAGATCTATAAAGTTAAATAAATAATCTTAATATAATAATATACTAGTTATATAGTCTAATATAATATTTAAACTAATTTAATAAATCTAAGAAAATCTAAAGAGAAAGCTATTATTTTATATATAATTAAGCTATTTATATATATATTTCCTTTTAGAATATATAGTATTAAGGAAATAACTAATATTCTACTATATATATATAATATACTCCCTATTAGAATTAATTAGGTTTTTAACTTTATTAAGTAATAACTAGAGTTTTATATATACTAGGTTTAGAAATATAATTATTAGAGAACTAAATATAAAAATCTAAAGATTATTAGATTTTAATTTACTTTTATATATAATTTAAAAGTAAAATATAGTATTCTAGATAAGAATTTATATAATTTTAATAAAACTAGCTTTATAATAGAAATTATTTTCTCTAAAATAGTAATTACTATCTTAGAGAGTTATATAAAAGCTAAGCTAGTTTAGTCTAATAACTAGAAATAGATAATTATAATCTAAGAAGTAAATATAACTAGCTAGATTATTCCTTCTTTTATTATTCTAACTATCTAATATTATCTTAAGAACTAGTATTAGGAATATAATCTACTATATAATTAATAGCTTATAATAACTAAGAATAACTAGACTATTAATAAGATTAATCTAAATTAAATTAAGTATTTTAATTTCTATATAGCTCCTTATATAAAGAGAGTATATTAAATACTAATCCTTAATAGCTATAAAAGCTATTATTTAGCTAACTTTAAAACTTATTATTAAGAGTATAAGATTATTATAGTTTATATATTTTCTTACTTCTCTTACTTTCTTTAGCTATTAGATATTAGCTACTTTAGATTACTAAAGTAATTATATAAAAAAGAGATTAAGAAGTTAATATAGATATATATTATCTATATTAGTAAGCTTAAGTTTCTTTTTTTCTTTTATATAGCTTTCTTCTATTTCTTTATAAAGAAGAATATCTAGATAAACTTTATTAGATCTAGCTTTATACTATATAATCTAGAGAGAGTTCTTTTAAAGCTAGATATAATACTATAAATACTAATACTATTAAAAACTCTATTTAAAATAAAATAGCTCTAGATTCTAAAAATACTATAAACTATATATAAGATAAATATATAGTCTAAGTATATTAAATTCTGAATTTTAGCTTATTAAAATAACTCTTTAATCTCTATATTAATTATAATAGATTAATTTATAAAGAGGATAATTATAATAATATACTAAATAGCTCTTTTATATACTAAAATCTAAGATCTTTATATAGTAAATAAGATATTAAGTAAATACTAAAGAGCTAAAAAAAGCTATATATAGTTTAAAGAATCTCTAATTATATAGAATAAAATAGATCTATTAGATTAGAAGAATATAAATAAATAGCTAAAAGAGGAAAATTATAGAAGTAATAGTTAGAAAGAGTAAGTTTATATAAAGACTCTATAATATAATAATTATAGAAAATCTAATTATAATATTTAAACCTATAAGGAGACTAAAAAGAAATCTAATAAATTAATTTCTAATATTATTATTATAGATAATTAGCTATTATTATTTTAATTAAGATTATTATATAAGGAATAGATAGAAGTAGTCTGTTTACTTATATAGTCTATTTATTTATAGATTATATTATATATACTCTATTATCTAAAGAATAAAAGTAATAAAAATATTATATTTCTATTATAGAATAAAAATAGATTACTAGAAGTAATATACTCTTTATACTCTATAACTATTATATATATATATTTATTTTATTATATAGAATATTTTTTTAAATAGTTATTAA